GCTTCGGTGGTGGTGACGGTGTAGGAAGGCGTATCGCTTCCATCGCGTCAATCTCGGACGGGGTAAAGTCCATGTCATTTGGATCCGGAGGTTCTGGTGACGGGGATTCATATTTCCATTTCCATCCCGGCAAGTCTCTCCATTCAGAGTCTCGGGGCAGATTGTTACTCCAGCTGTCTTTCCACCATCCCTTCTCTTTCCACCGAGCTGTCACATTAGCCCGTGCTGATATATAGGTCTCCGTTCTGTCTGGGTTGCGCCGCAGTCTCACCTCTTCCTCTGCAACCTCCAGAGCCCACGTGAACCAAGGCCGGCTCGTAATCGGTGACTCATCATCGTCTACCGGGACCTCAGCTATACCGTCGGCCTCTGGGGGGTGCGGCGTGAGAGTCTCGTTCCCGTGGGCTTGCTTCAGAAGATATCGTCGAATCGCACGGCTTTCAGGTGTTTCCTTATCTCGTGAATCCCACCACGGCCAGGACTTAGGCCCATCATCATTCCCAAACCCTCCAAATTCGCCGGTTGGAACTCCCCATGCGGGGTTCCAGACTCCCAGTTGTTGCCATCGCTTTTTGATGCTGTGTCGGATCATGATGTATTCCCTCTGTTGTCCCGGACGCCCGATCAGATCAGGTCCACGATAGAGCGGAACGTAATTTGCATCCCGTCTACCCCATGCTCGATCGATCCGCTCCTTCTCTTGACCCTCTTCGTCGTTATATCGATCGCCTGGGCCATATCCGCTATGCCGAAATGTGTATCGGATCAAGTCGATCTCATGGTCGCTCAACGGCTGGCGAAGAAGTTCGGCGAAATCGATGTCGCCCTGGGTTTGGGGGAATGGGCCAGGCGTTGGTTCTCTCGTGGTACTGCGTGACGAATAAGGCGGGGGAGGGTCATCTCGTTCGAAGCGACGCTCTCGATGTTCAAGGAAGGCCGGATCGTCCTCCATCCACTGGAGGGCGGGCATGATGGAGTTCAGACGAGCCGGATTGATGTCGTAGACAGTATGAAGCATTGTGGCGGTTGAATGGGGTGGAACAATCCGTGCGGTTGAACCTGAAGTTCAGAAGACGACACGCTGTGGTTGGATTTTGAGGTTTCCAATACATCACGTGATTTAGGCGTTTCAAGTCCCTAGGCAGCCATTAGGTCAATGCATGCGTAAGAGGGCGTGGTACCACGTGACCTCAGGTGATCTCTTGGCGCGTTGCGCGACAGCTATAGGCTGACGCCTGCTCTACTGCCATCTATTAGTAGCCTACAACCCAGGTTCCCCTGGTCCCCGTCTACCACCTACACAATACGCACGCGCCCTAAAGCTCGGCAGTAGAGATGGTGTGTTGGCCGCCTGATTGTTCCAGGACGAAGTCTGAGGAATCACAATCGTCCATTCAATTTCAGGGCAGGCCATGGTTCTCCGACAAGTCTCGGTCTCGTTCTGGCGCTTGGACGAGGAGACTGGTGTGCCCGAAATATATATGTACGCTTTCCTTTTCATTCCCAAGTCGCCGCCTGCCTTCTGCCTTGTCACAAAATCCCATCAATTGAGGTGCCTTCCTCCGAACGAGTCACTATCTTTGCCTCTCTTGTTGAATGTGCGACGTTATGCCTCGCCAAACTCCTCATTCCCAGACGATCTTTCACCTTGTCCCGCATAAGGACTCTCCCAGGGCTAAACAGATGCTCCTTCACCCGGACAACGAGCCATTTATATCTCTCTGTAAAGCTACCGAACGGGATGAGGAAGATGAGTACGGCCTCGAGATCGGCTATCATGTTTCGGCGAGGCCTCGTGCGCTCGTGATAGTGGAAGTCGGAAGGAATGCTGACCTTATTATGCCGGGGCCGAGTATCTCCTAAGTCCACTTTTCTTTTGAGGTTCATCCTGAATCCCGTCATATTATGTTCGTGGATCGGTCCCGACTTCACAGTACTAAAATCGACCTAGATGGCTTTAGGGTGGACGGGAATTTCCGCCAGCTCGTCCTAAAGCCTAAGGAAAAGAAATACAAAATCAGCGCTGGCGGCGAGAAAGCGGACCAATTCGTCTTTTACTTAAGAGGGTTTAAGGCGGCGGAAGACGCACTACAAGAGGTGGAGAAAGAATCTCAGATGGTAGGAGCACGGGGACAGAATCCTCGCTGGGCTCGGACAGTCGAGGACGCGCCTATAGATCTTCCTACTTGGTACAATACCCGGCTTCACACGCCAGCCATTGGGGTTGTCCAGCGAGCGATCGATGTTGGACCGCTAGGGAAAGGCGCGTTTGGCGAAGTGCGGAAAGCTGTGGACCGCGATTCGGGATGCTTCATCGCGGTCAAGAAAATTGAATTACCCCCCCGAGTTGAGTTTGCGGTGTCGAACGAAGAGGTCCTATTACGACGTGAAGTCAAAGTTCTTTCCAGCATTTCTCACGTACGGTCCTTCTCATGTTGGATATATATTGTATTCTTACACTGCGTACAGAAAAATATCGTCGAATACCTTGGTTCATCGGGTTGGGACACCGATATCGTCAACATCTATATGAGCCTGAAACCGGGAAACCTCTACGATTTACTCAAGGAAACGCCGAGCGTACGTACTAATGATCCCGTTATTACTCGACTCTACCATGAAATGCTCGAGGCGCTAGATTATCTCGCCTTCCGAGGCTGGATCTATCGGGACGTTAAGCTCGAAAATATTCTCTATACCCCATCTGGCGACGACAACTACCTCTTCCAATTAGCAGATTTTGGCCTTGCCAATCGGCAACGCCTTGCAAAGACATAATGTGGCTCTCTTCTTTATATGGCGCCCGAAGTAAGGTACAGAACGCACGAGCAGTCTCCCAAAGTGGACGTTTGGTCCCTCTTTGTCGTGATTGGTATTGTGACGCAGGCAGGAAGCCTTCACGACCTAAGGCTAGCCCAGTACGAAGACGTTCTGCAATGCGTTCGAGCTGCGGCCGCTCAATATACATTCCTCAGCCCGATGGCACAGGAAGACCCCAATCTGCGGGCTTCAGCGGCTCAGATGCTTGTGAAATGCTTTAACGGCGAAGGGATGAGCACACCTCGGCATCAAGTTGGCCGAATACCAGACCCCGTAAGTGCCCAAGAAGCCTCACGGGCTCCCGAACAACGCGGTTCCGGTCCGAGGCCTCAAGCTCCACTGCTTAAACCCCTCAAACCTGCGGTCGGTAATCTGAAGCGGCTCAACAATGCGTCACCCAAACCTCTAGCGAATGGTAAAGTCCCTCAGCGTGGCATCCATACAAGGGGGTTTCCTGAAATGGAGAGAGGGCAATTTCTGGGATACCGGCGATTCTCTTGAAACCACCCAACTCACCGCCGTCTCTGCCATTGAGAGACAACAAAGACCTCAAGATCCAAACACGCAACGGGGCCGTACAGGAAGACGTGGCCGAAAGGAACGGCGTCGGACCAGAGTTAATGCAAAACGATGATAGCCAGGTTTCTTCCGTTCCTTCTACATTCGGAGTTGAAGGCTTCAGAAATCCAGGGCTGGCCTCATTGTCAGTCCTGATGTGCGTATATCTTCGTCATGGGTTAGGATGGCTCTACAATTCGGAATCATTAACAATCACTCATCCTCAAAACTAAATCGGTGAAGAGCAACTTACAGGACCTCCATCTGCTTTGAGGGTGACACGGGACGATTCGCGGAAGGAATATTGGGACTCGAAAGGGCCGTCCATTACATTGGCCCAATAACTGGAGATCTGCGCCTCATAGCATTCTACCTTAACTCTCGTCGTGCTATGGAACAATACACCATCTCGCGAAGCCGCTACAAAAACGAATCGTAAATGTTTGTCCTCGTCGACTGTATTGCCCATCATGCCCACATTTCTTGTGAGAGAAATACGCCTGTAACCGCACATGCCACTCATATACCCAAATTCATGGTCATTCCTACACTCAGGTAAGGTTGCAATGTCCTCGCTGAATGTCTCCTCGTGATTTCCATCTTCCGTCCACTTGTCCCTCCCAATGGCACTGTCGCATATCGCCAAAAATACTGATTCCACTGTGCCCCTCCCTTTGGAGAAGATCTCTAGTAGTAGGCGGCCACTCGCTAGCAGATCTGACAACGGTCCAAAACGTTGAGTTCGGTAGGCACACGTCCCGTCTCCAGACATGTTGCGACGTGCCGCCAGAGATTAACAAAACCCTGACGCCTGACTTGTTCGTTTTGAGGTTGTTTAGTACCTTCGAAGGCAAGTAACCAAGATAGTGTTCTCGAGATTCAACCCATTCTGGCCCGGCCAGTGATGGACGTCATCATCCATCATGTCGTACCCTAATTGAGCCTGACATTAGCAGGGCGTGCGACATCCTAGGACTCGGCGAAATTTTGTTTCTCAGTAATGGCAAATCACAGATAAGCATAGAGATACGAAACGTAGTTTGCCGTCTGCACTCTACGTGTTCCCGTAACCGCTGCCGAAGTCTTGAATGCTTGAAGAGCAATCTTTGATTCAATGAGACTCTGAAGCATAATCGAAAGACGCAGTGAGATCGTATGTACTATACCTATACCAGTTGCAGAGCGAACTACAATGAGTGAAGTAATTAGGCTTCTTCGAATCTCCTGTAGTATGCCGAGCAGGGGGCCTATTCTGGCTGGCTGAAACGCTTTAACAGACGAAACTCACGGTTCGGCTGACACGTTCCCGAAGCCCATGTTGGGTTGTCGAGAACACCCCAGCATGGATGACGAATGTGGAAAGGAAGGGCGACACATGTCTACCGGTAGGAAATAATCAATGGTAAATGCTGATAGTGTCATCTCGAGGTGTCTGAGATGTGAATAGACTCTCCCACTACCGGCATGGCACCGCAGTCAAGATGACAGACGGTGCCTGTGCCACTGGCAGTGGCAGTGCCATTGGGGGTTGCAGCGGCGTTGGTGTGTAATCTCCGTAGCGTTGGTGTGTATCCATTTTAACTTGTGGCGGTGCTTAATCACGTAATATATATAGAGATGTAATGACAACTACTATAGCAAGCCTAATAACTTTATATCTAGAAGTATATAGAGTAACGAGTAGTAACGAGTAGTAACGAGTAGTAACGAGTAGTAACTAGATATATCTAGTTCTACTTTATTATCTATCCTACTATATACGCGCGTAACTCTTTATATTATATTCTAGTCTTCTAGTCTTAGGCTACTAAATATTCTATTAAGTTATCTCTTCTAGACTAAGAGTTTATAATTTAAATTTAAAAATCTATAGTAGTAACGAGTAGTAACGAGTAATAACTAGATATATCTAGTTATAAATAGATACTACTTTAATTTTCTATTCTACTATATATACGCGTAACTCTCTATATTATAATCTAGACTTCTAGTCTACTAGTAAATATTCTATTAGATTATCTCTTCTAGAGTTCGTATTATTAAAAGTCTATAGTAGTAACGAGTAGTAACTAGATATATCTAGTTATAGATAGATACTCTATCTAAAATTACTTCAAGTTATAGTAGTAATAGATAGTAACTACTAGATATATCTAGTTATAGATAGATACTACTTAAGTTTATCTACTATTTAGAAGTATATAATAGGAACTTTAAGTAATAGTATTATAGTCTAAGAATATATCTAGTTATAGATAGATACCCTATTTAGCTTAAAGTACTTACGGTAGTAATAAGTAACGACTAGATATATCTAGTAGTTACTAGAATAAAGAGCTATTACCGGTAGCGACTAGACGCGAAACTTAAAATATCTTTGAAATGACTTCTAGTTTATTTATATTAAGTATACTAACTAAAAGTAGACTAGCGCGCGGAATCGGTAACTACTGGGAACTACTAGATATACGCCACACTAAAAGTGGATACACGCCAACTCGACGGAGATTACACACCAATGCCGCTGTGCGCCCAGTGGCATTGGCCGTGGCCGGTAGGACTTGTGGAGTGCCAAATTAAGACACCGCTTTCCCCCAACCGGCTAGCCTGAGCTGTGAGAGTCCAGTTGGGGAAGGCGGCTGAGGGCGGCGTCTTTTTGTTGTGGCTCGGGACTGTCGCCAGGGTGAGACACACTCGACTTTCCATGTCCAGTCCATCTTTGGCCGCTTGTTTTTCCCTTTACCTCTCCCTGCGAGCATCCGGACACACGCCTCTTCAATATCTCACCACTCTCATTTCTTAATATCAATTCCGCCCTTGTGCAGCCTCTCGCTAAGATCCGTTTCAATCGCTACACGTTTCGAGCCATACCCCTGAAAACAACCTCCCACGCATTGGATAGAATCAACGACATCCAAACAGCTAAAGCCCGTGCCCAGCCGAATTGAAGATGAAAGGCTCCGGCCTCTTCTCCGTCCTCTCGACACTCCTGCTTGTCTTCATCGCTTTTTCGTCGGCTTGGCCTTGGCCTGGGGCGTGGAACAATCATGAGGTTGATGCGTTGATTGTGCGGCAGGCGGAGGAAAGCGAAACAGACAAAGCCACAGCCACTTCGAGGTCGGCGTCAGCATCCAAAAGTGCTGCCTCGGAGTCAGAGTCAGAATCGGCGTCGGCCTCCGCGTCCGCGTCTGCTTCAGCCTCTGCATCTGCGTCAGGGTCGACCTCGGCCTCAAAATCAGGAGATAAGACTGCGTCAAACACCAAGAGCGGGACGAAAACCAGTCAGACGAAAACAACGTCCATTGACGCCCGTCTTCCCCCGGGCGGTGTTTCTATGATTACTCCTGCAGCTATTGACGGAGTCCAATACTACAAAGTGGGCGATCAGATCACCTTCAAATGGAATTACACTTCCCTTTCGGTGACTCCGTCAGCCATCGATGTTCTGGCTTCATGCTCTATGAATGCTGCCACATACACCATCTCGTCGAACATGTCTGTGGAAGAGACCGGAGCTGTTACCTGGGACACGGGCGAGTACCAGTCTACGGCCACGAATCCCTTCCCAGTGGCGAGCTATACCTTGATAATTCATGACGCAGCCAAGGATGTTACGGATGTGGCATCGGCTGGATATTTGAATGCATATTCGCAATACGTCTTTGGCATGTACACACCGTAAGTGCTGATCATTGACTGAATTAGACACGGAAGGGCTAAATGCGCTACAGGCAACCATATACTCCCTTGAACGAATTCAAATGTGCCACCTGCAGTGGCGCGCTCTCAGTGCACGAAAAACAAGCCCTGGGTGTTATACTGATTACCGCGGCCATCACGACCATGTCCTTCACATGGTTTGCGTCTGGATTTGGCGTCTTTTCATGAACACGTCACGGTTCCATCTATATATTTATATTCCGTACCCGACGAAGTCAAATCGTATGACAAATATTGACGACACGTATTGTTTACAGCATAGCGACCCAATTGGAAAATTGTATTTGGAGTTGGTGGGCGGAGAACCTTGAGGCGGACGGTGCCATGATAATCTATCGGAAACATGCATAAATCTGGGACGGGGAAGAGGATAGGCGCATCCTGGCGAGCGGAAAAATGGAAATCAAAGGATAGCGGCTCCTTATGACGGGGAGAAAGAAAAATTGACCCTTGCGATACGGGAAGAGTATGGCTGTGTCGGCCATTGTCCCAGATCATATATTCGGGAAATGCGATATATCAACTCTAATGAGCAGTGGTCATCCACATCCACAGCAATTTCTAATTGTGAACCAAATTCCGAAACCACGGTGCAACGCAAATCGTCAACGTACACGCCCGAACCCACACCCACAGAGTAACAGAGTTGTGATACTGGATATCAGCATTGATTGCTATGTTGCCCATTCCTCCCGATTCAGTTCATTTGTCACCGGGATTCTACCAACATGGAACCAAGATCAATTTGCTTCACAGCCTTCCGTGAAGGGGGCTTGGTGGATTCGACACGGCAGCCACATTGCTCGAAGGAGAGGGAAACTAGGACACCGGCTTCTGTTCCGGTTCAAGCCTTATCGGCCAGCTGCTCGAGTCTGCTCAGCATCGTTACAAATTCTCTGTCGATTGCTATGCCGATTGTCAGTCTGCCCGCAGGGCAAACGGAACCTTCTTGACGCATGTGACAAGCATGTACTCACCACCCCTTTCCTATTGCATGTGAGAAAATCCGTCGTTTCTTGAGCTGCGATCAAAGCAGGGGGAGGTTCAAGAAGTACAAAAGCCCGTGACTTGTGCTCCCTTCAGACTTCCTTTGCCCCATCATCAAGCACAGTCCAATTCCTGCCTTGTCTTTATCTGCCTGCCTCACTTTGAACAGCACGGTTTCTTCTATCTGTGAGCTCGAAAGAACTATTACACGTCATCTCACCTGCCTTGCCCGTGAATCATCGCCTCAAGCAATCTTGTGTTCAGGCAATTGGGAGACATTCTTTTGCTTTGAGGCGATTAGAGCAGCTTGTCTGTGCTTCATTTTCGACCGGTTGCTTCTCGTTGCCAACCGACAATCCAATCAGACAGCACAGAAACGGTCCCAAGGCCAGACCAGCAAACCCGCCTTGCGCCTGTCGAGACAAGGCGCCCTGGAGAGCTTTTGGTACATTGGTCACGCAGGGGTTTACTTCACGCGTTGAGGGTTTTGGTTAGTATGCCCACGACTATGTATCGTCGCCCTGTCACGTCTCTCATTGGTTTCAAGCCGAGACCTTGTACCGGTTCCAGTCGTCCAATCCTCGCCTCACTCAGCACCGCTCAAGAGCCTGACCACTTAGACGACTGTCCAAGGTACGACGAAACGAAGGGACGAATCAAGCACTGAGCCATTGATCTGGACAAACGAACCAGACGCCCCAGTTTCGAGACACAGCTGTATGTGCTGTCCTCTCTGCCCTGCCCTACCTACCTACTCAAGCTCCGATTGACACAGCCTGTGACAACACACCCCGACGCCTCCGTTTGGAAGCACGTGGTAGCGGTTGAGCCGGTCGCATACCATATGGCCCATGGGCCCCGCAAACGTCCATATTCCTTGCTCCCCTTCTATAACTTCAGAGCCTATGCCACTGTTGCCAGTCTCAGTCTAACTCCTCTTCCTTCTCAGACAGTGCAATCCGAGTTCATCAAACTGCCATAATCGACAAAACAACAGCAAACAGACAAACTCGCAACCATGCCTGCTGGACGCCAATCGACCTTGTCCGCGTCTACACGACAACCCAAGTCCTGGCTCCCTGAACACGATGCGTTTATCCGCCGTCATGCCCGCAACCGCGAGGACGCAACCAGCATCGGCATTCTCTTTGAGACCGAATTCCCTGGTGTCCGAGTTACGCGTGACTGGATCGGGATGAGGATGAAGCAGTTGGGGCTTCTTTAGTCCTAAGAGCGACTCTTTTCGTCTGGAGGTCAACCGAGCTTTGGCGGTAAGGGCAATAGGGTATGTCCAGCCCATTACACGGAGATAGACGGACAGGCACCGAATCATGCTGACTATTCGGTTGATCAACTGCAGACTGTCTCGTCGCCCGAGCGACCAGAGTTTCTCTTTCATTAGAATCCCCAGTGGCAGCATGTCCTCAATCATGGCAGGAGTAGGAGAAGGAGCAGGACTGAAAGAATGGGGCTAGAGGATGAGGTCCAGACGTGCGTGAAGGAGCTGACCCCGATCTCCCCTACTCAGGCGTTCATCGTCTGCCTCTTTGTCTCTGTCTCTCACATACAAGACAGGTGGTACCAGTCAGGAATGAAAGATTGAGTGGGAGGAGTGGGCGTTGAGTTGTGTTTCTTGACTTAGACTTGTGCTTTATGATCTTTTCTCGGGCGAGTGCGACCTAAATCTGAATGTCTTGTTAACTGTCCATTCAAAGTTAGCAAGCAAAAGGTCTTCATGAATTTTAAAGCCTAGTTGGTTGAACTTGCGAAAATGTCATGAAAAACGGGTCGTGTGTCCAAGCTCTTCAAGACCCGGTTCAAAGTAAATATGTCCTTCTATGTGTATAAATCATTATGTCGAAGTGTTCAGGAGGCGATGGGCGCCCCGATCGTTCATGAAGGCAAAACCCCTAAAGGCGAGGATGATAACCAACTGCACTATATGGGACGGTTGATCGAGAAACATACCAGATACTGCAGTGGGTATGCTTGACGTCAGTGACATACGCCAACAGGTTCGTATTTCTTGCTCGCTGCCGGAACGATACTACAGCTGAGAGCTTTGGAGATAAGAGGACAAAATTCTACGGAGACACAGTACAAGACAGAATGCGAAAGGTTCCACGAAAAGTATGGGACCAATGTCTAGATTGGGACATAGACGGTAGTATACGTATTGTAGAAAAAAGTACAGCTATATAGCCATACTTCCGGGCAGTCCTCATTTGACAAGCACGGGCAGGTACTTCAATACTTTCCCAGTAGGATACATGAGAAGAACAGCTCTGAACGGTCCTTGATGGTTCGAACACAACCCGTGTAGGTATTTGTGGTCGGGTCGGACAAAAGGCCACAGCCATTGCCGGTATGGTCTTCAAACAGACCTTCAAGCAATGAAGAATTCCTCCCAATAAAACTTCAGACCAAAATCAAACCTGCAGATTGCATTGCTCGTGCGCTGACAAGGCTGCGTCCATACTCCTCGCTGAATGAGCTAAAATGTGTCACTTGTGAGTAAATGATATGCGATGGGTGTTTCAGTATACAGTAAAAGTCGTATTTTCGTTTCCTCTGGAAAAGACGGTGCATGTTTCAGGGCATCATCGGCAATGCAAGGTTCGTGCCTGGATCTCTTTGTCGAATACCTCCTCTTTAGTCGATCGGAGTTTGCTAGGACATGGAACTTAGCCTCGACGAAGAAATCCAGACTTCCATCTTTCCCATCTCATTTCTTTCCTTCCTGGCTTGGTTGCGCACACTACTGAGCAACATCTCCAGGTCATCTTGGTCGCCCATGGTTATCATGTCACCGTCATCTTGCATCCTAATCTTCATTGGATCTTTGATGCTGAATTTCTCTCGAATCTTGCTCTCGAAATCGCCAAAATCAATCACCGCGCCGATCATTAGATACCTCGTGTCTTCGTTGAAGTGGCACTTGACCCGGATCTTGCGCATCTCTGGCCGGTTGCTCCCTCGCCCGGATCTCGACGTTGGCCTGCGGACGGGCTCAAACCCACTCATTCCCTCACTCATGTCTTCTTCCTCGACAAACTCGTCTTCTTCGTTAAAATATGCTTGTTGTTCTGGTCGCCCGGGTCGTCTCCTTGGACTAGCGTACATCCGGTAGACATCATCGACAGCATCGACAGTCTCCTCATATCGTGACTCGACAGTCTCCCGGAACAGGGGTGCTGGGGCTCGCTGTGAAAGAGACCTGTCCATCACTTGACGCCTGGTAGCTGGTCCACGTGGTTCCGATGCCGTCCTTTGGGTTCCGTACCGTGATCGATCCATCTGAGGTGACGGGCGCTCCACTAGCACCGGTTCTTCGGACCAAGAGTTCTCCCGCGGTGCCATTCTGCTCTTAGCAGGAGCGGGATTCCGGCCGACGTCAAACGTTGCTGAGCGTCCCAGCATACCGGGCCTAGGTTGATCCGGTCCAGCTTTGGGACTCGGAACATTTCGGGGATTGCGCAAAGATGTCGTCCGCAGTGGCAAAGTCGCCGACCCGCCGCTCGTCACCCTGGGTTTTTCATTCTCTGGTGGAGGTGTGGGCGGGAAAACATTTCTGTTCATCACTGGAGGAGCACTCTGATCTCGATCTCTGGGTTGCCTGCTCGATATGTTGCGTTGCACGAGGTTGGTTGCAGCGTAGCTGATGTTCTCAGGAGGTCGGTCATCCTTGGCCGCCAACTCAGTGGCAATAGCCTGTCTCTTCTCCAAGCCTGAAAATCCCGTCCCAGTGTTTTGACTATTCGAGGTGGCGATGAGACGAGCCTTGCCCAGATAATCTTTAGCCTTGAGGTTCTTGACTTTCGCTTCGTTTGGTCTGTATATGCAGCCGACCGGTCTGGGATGTAGTCAGTAACGACGAACTGTCGGGGAGATCCGCGGACAGATTGCACATTGCACGGTCGCTCTCCTTGGGCAGACTTACATGCTGAAGACGACGTAACCCTGTTTTGACGTCAGTACCTGCTCTCTCCATTGACTATGTTCGGACTTACTGCAGCTCTCTCCTTTATGGCATCGTCGATCACGTCGTGGTCTGGAGTCATCTTTTCTTTCTGGGCGAAGCTGAAATCTTGCAAACCAGATTCTTCTTGTTGAAGGTACATGTAGCAGAGGCCTCGGTTGAACAGGACTTCACAAGAGTACAGTTTGAACTTTAGACCCAATTGTTCATAGTCGATGTAGGTGTTCCCCCTCAGGTACAACAGGGTGTCGTTGAAGTTGGCCAATGCTTCTTCAAAGTCACCAACGAGGAAATTTGACACGCCTTGCTGAAAGTAGGCGACGGCTAAGTACTGGTCGAGCTTGATCGCGCGTTGATAGCATTCCACCTACTTCAGTCAGCCTCCCTTATTGTCCTCTTTTGCTTCGTTGAACCCACCGCTCGATCATGCTCGCCGATGGTTGCATGAATTACACCACAGTTGAAGAGGATTTTCGAAGTATCTGCTATCGTATCGAACGTCACCAGGGCCTCCTCGAACTCCTGGTTGTCATAGTGATTTAGGGCCTCGACCCAAGTCTCTATCTCCTGGTAACCGTCAGTCTAGAACCATGTCAACAATGGATACTGCCCACCTGCTTGAGCGACATGGCGCCGCGCCGAAAGCAGTCAAGATTGAGTAGGGTTTCTCAAGGTCAAGATCGGTTCAGACGACTTAGACGGAGTGATGTATGTTTGCAGGAAGTCGAGGATCGGCAATGCGAGAGGCGAGCCAGGGGACGGATATTGAAATGGTGTAGTGTGGTCACAGACTCGCTTCGGTTAGCGGACTTCGATGGCTGCGAGGTCTCAAAAGCTGCGAGGGCCGGCCCTGCCGCAAAGACCTTGAGATCCAGGGATTAAGCGCCGAGTGAGAGTAGTAATGCCGTGGTAACGGTAGCGGTGTTGGCGCAGTGGTGGTGGTGTGCTTAGAGGTTCGGGTTCGGCGCCAATGCGTCCAAGAAGCGGCGCCAATGGGAGCCGGTTTCGAGTTGACGAGAACGGAACGGATTAGGGACAGCAGTGACGACCCGCGACGGTGGAAAGTATTGCACAAAAAGCGAGGTGTAGGAAGAATCGAAGCAAAAAGAGCGTGTACAGAAGTGAAAGCTAGAGGAAGAGAGATGCAAGGAAGAAACAGTTCAGAAGAGAGCGACTCAAGGAGAAGAGACCTTGAATTCAGTGTTTGAAGATGATGGTTTGGCAGTTTCTGTCGCACAATTACTGACGTTATTTTTGGGGGCAGCCCGCGGTAGCACTAAGGACAAAGATACACTGTACAATGACACCGGCGGCCTGGCCCTTGGTGGAGATGCCTAGCACCCACTGTAGTAATACAGTGCCAGTGCCACCTAGTAAGTGAGTGCCTAGTAGTACCTAGCCAGTTTGTTAGTAACAGTCCAGTAAGCAGGGGGCTCGACGACACTCCAGGCTTCCAAACATGAAGCTAGAAGGACAGGGAGCGAGAGTCCAGGGGGAGGCAACACCAAAGGGGGTCATTGTTAGGAGACCTGAGGAACCCAATCGTGCCTCCCACCGCCTGCATTGCCACCAAAACAGTTTGGCATCGCGAGATTCCCTGCTTGGTGAGGTCAACAAGTTTCCAACCTGTGTCCCGCGTCGCCCATCCTTGCATCGAGATATCACCGACTACTGCACCTTGCCAGCTAGTAGTCTCACTGCAGGACGAACTCTTCCATTCTGTGTGTGACGGTTCCAGCGAAAGATGTGCTGGAATGCACTGTTGGCCTCTCAATTGGTGAGTCGCGTTTCGTCAACCACAGCAATTGGAACGGACTTCGCTTGTTTCTCACCGTCTTCGTGCCTCGCTTGTGTTTCGTCTCCTCAACATGAACCTCAATTGCTCAGTATGTGACCAAAAGATGTCCTCCTACATGACTCGCACGTTATGGTCAGCAGTGGCCTGAGTCAATCACCTGAGTATGGTGTTTGAACGACAATTCACCCTACGGCGCCTGGGCAGTCTTGAGTCGAACTTTTCTGTTGATCCCTGGACTGGCCGGATAGCTTTCGGGGTTTCTGGGCAGTGGACCCCTACGTGATACAGTACGACGACGTTTTGGACAAGTTTCGTTTCAGAAGCGCTTCTGAAGGCCAACCAGCATTTACGAACTTGGATCTCCAAAGTCTATCGCAAGCAGCCGTCCGTACACTTCTCATGCGTCCAAGTCATCCATGCATGCATGCAAGGGTGGTGCAAAGCTTGCATTGTCGGACTTCCCGTCAAGTCAGAAGCAGAATGTACCAACCAGCAAGTTGCACATTGCCGATACTCTGCCCCTTCCTTTCGAACAATGCAATACCATATGGTATGATCATCATGTCTTCGAGTTATCCAACCTCTCTTTTATCGAATAAATGGTCATAACATGCCCTTTCCCACCTGCTCCTTACGTTCATCCCAGACCGTCTTTCCCGAACAACTACATACCGTCTTGTCGTTGTCCCAAACTCCCGCAGAGCGGGCAATGACTCCTACCAGGGTATCCGGATCATCCGTCTGAAACGCTCCCTCTGGTTGTTTCGACACCACCATGCTTCGACCTATGATCTCCCAGATTGATACGGGTCGATCTAAGAACGCGCTTCCGCGGCCATCCTTGCCTACCTCTATCGTGCCAAACATGCCTCGAGGCTGACCAAAGCCCCCGAGGCTTTTGATAGCTTCCCAAATCCCGCCAGTGGAAACTGCCCCGCGGGAGATGTCTCCCGTTTCCCGCACCGTAGCATGATACGTTCCCGGCGATACACCACGTACTGTTAGGTCCACAAGTGTATGGTTGTCGGCAACTTGGACCATTCGCGCCAGACCCCGGACCGGATCCCGCACACCTTTAGCATGAGTTTCCAAGATACAGACGCCCGCGGAGTTGGACTTTCCGGTTCCCCTTAAGATGGCATCCCGCCCAGTAGATTCAATGGCTGACACGATTGACGAAGGAGGTGCTGTTCCTTCAATATAAACAAGCTGGTCTTTGAGATTGGCTTCGACCTTGGTGATTCCTGGAGCGGCAACTCAGTCCTGACGACAACCGCCGGGAATGTTTGAAGACATACCATCCAGCTTGTGTAAAGCTCCAGAAACGTCTTTGACACACGACTCGCAGTGGAGTGGAACTGCAAAAGTGGTCTGAGTCCATTAGCATCTAGGGTCAGACAGGGTGGAAGGTGGTACTGACCTGGAACGGTTGAATTCCTAGGCTTCCCATGTTGCTCGCTATTCTTGTGCGCTTTCAACGGACTAGACGTCGTGTGAAGTATGTGACCTGTTGGATTGCTGGGCTAATGGTTAAACAGGAGGTGAATTGCACTCGTGCCGCGGCGGAGGACGACTTGAAAATGCTTTGTAATACTCGAGCAACGGCTCAAATGGAACATGTTGTACACAGTCGGCTCCGATGCCCCACTGCCAAGGAACACTTACGTCAGCTGCACTTCCTGAACCTCGCTATCGACCCTAAATAACGCTCGATAACGACGTCGACGACGAGGTTTACTACTCTCTAGAATAATCTATAGACCGTACGAGATACGGTATTCTCTCCGATTTCTATAGTATATATAGGACTACTCTATATACTATTAAGTAGATAGAGCGAGAGTAAATATAATAATTTTAGCGTATCTACTAATAGTTATAAGCCTAGTTTACGACTAACTACTCTACGAACGACTAATAACCGAATATATTTATTTATAATACTTATACTCTAATACGAGAACTAATTAATAGTATTAACGGGATTATTCTCTACCGTAACCGAAATAATAGTAGTATACTATAAGGAGTCGACTCGCTCTTCTACTATCTTCGTTAGGACTACTCCTATTCTAAATACTCTCGATAACTAGGATAACTAGTATAGGGTCTTTAAAAGTAAAGTATAGGCTAACGAATTATAGTAGTATATCGACCTCTCCTAACCCGAACCGATCTTATTACTAGAGCCGCTTAAACTATCTCTCTATATCGAATCGAATACTCTTATATAGAAGAAGAAATAGACGCTAGATAGGAAAAATAGAGACTACTAACGTTAATTAGAGCTATATCGATAATAGACTATCCTAATCTAACGCCTTAATAATCGATTTAATAGAACGATATCTCTATCTAACCGTCTATATTACGAAGATAAGTCTATACTCTATCGTCGACTAAAGATACTAAGAGACCGTCTAAAACCCTTAGACGCGATAAAGAGATAAAGCCTCGCGAGTAAGTAGTATACTTTAAAATAAGTACTACGAAGTAAAGACTTAGAGATATAGTTCTATTAATAGAAGTCCCTATATAAGTAGTATAAGGCTCTATATATAATAGAAGCTATAGAAGACGTAGTATAAATTAACTTCCTTACTACTATATAATCCCTATATCCGAGTATAGTAGGTCTAGAACTTACTAAGTTCTATAACCGAAGAGAAATAGAATATATATTATTATATAACCTCGTTAATATAGTTAAAGGCGTATATCGTAATTCGAAGAAATTAATAGCGAAAGTAGTATTATACTTAGCGTTTAGTATATTAAAAGAAGATAAGAAGTAATAGAAGAAATCTAAGTATATCTATAAATATAAATACTTCTATAACGAATACTATTATCTAAATTCTTTAAAACGACCGAATAATTAGACTTTAAACCCTAAAGTTAATTATAAAGTATAGACTAAGTTAAATAACGATAAGGTTTTACGTAAGCGTATTAAACGACTTATTAATAAGAATAAGAGAAAAAGTAAGGATAATTAATAATAGTAAGGAGAATTAATACTCGGAGTATTTACCGCGTATTTATATACTATCGTAACCGATTATAAGTTAAAGAATTACTAGATACTCGACTCCGGATCCGATATATATATATATAATAAGCTAGAGAACTTTACGAGGACTAGAAAAGCGACCGAAACCGATATTCTTATTATAGGGATAAATCGATATTCTATTAAAGTATTTAGAAGCGTTAAACTACGCGTATCTACTAAAAATAGAATTAAGAGACTTATACTACTCGACGTCGCTCTTATTCTAGAGTTTATAACGAACCTAGTATCGCTCTTTCGTTTATATAATAAGAATATTAACTAGAATATACTAGATAAAGTCTTAATACTAAATAACGAGTATTTATACTACGTACGAAGAAAAGATAGTTACTAGATACTATTCGACGACCCTATCTTAGCGTCTCGATAACTATATATATCCGACTCTCTATCTACTTCTTCTCCTTTAATAACCCTAAAGGCTACTCCTAACGTCGTAGTATCGAGATTAGTTAGAGAAGCTTTTATTACGAGGCCGCTAGCTCCTCTCGTAATACTCTATATACGGGCGGCTCTCGGCGTGGCGTTAGCGCCGATAAGATAGACTCCCGTTACTACCGCTACCGTAGCTTAAGAGGGTAAGTCTCCCTACGAGGACTCCCTAGATAGACTATATACCGTTATAGGGTATATAGAATATAAAGCGCTTCGATACCTACTAGATATAGTAACCGAACTTCCGAAGATTAAGAAGATTACTTCTATTTAATACGAGCCTTATCGACTATTAAAAGTAACCTAGATTATCTCTCGAAACTTATTATAAGAAGAATTAGCGACGAGACTATTTAATAGAGTCTCGTACGACTTAATACCCCTTAATATAGTCTATAACGGAGATAAATAGATTAGCTATTTTAGAGATTACTATACGAGAATATATTTCGTCTATATATATCTACGAAAGTATTAATTATTCTAAATAGCTTAAGACTTTATAAATATAATTTATACGAGATATAGCTATAACGTTAAGTTTATTAGAATAGACGAGGAAAGATCGCTATTAAAGATCTACGATAATAACGTACGAGATAGAAGTCTAATAACTAAACGAAGTATATCGTATACTTCCGCTTAAAATAGTTATATAGAATAAGTAGACCGATTACTAATTAATATAGCTTAAATAATATATCTATACGTAAATCTACTAAAGAATCTATAGCCTAAGATAGTAAAAACCGTAGAATATATCCTAAATCGATTATCGTCTCGTATACTTAGCTAGAAAACGCTATTCGAAATACTATACGGGCGACGACTCGATATCTCGTATATATACGTATACGGTTATAAAGCCTATATATTATAGTATAATATTCTATAGAAAGATAAACTTTAATAACGCGCGTAGATTAGGTATCTCGTTAGGTACGATTTAATAAATATCTTTTAAATCTAGCGATCCGATAAAGACTAGGTTATACGAGTATAAGACGTTATCTTTAACGATAATAAGACGTTTTTACTACTTCTATATAAAGATAATAAGTTACTATTAATTAAGTCGATTTAGCTAGATATCGAAATATACGAGTCGATACCTAAAATAGATATAATTCTAATTAATTCTAAAAACGGCTTAGCGCCGAATTATCCGGAAACTACTTCCGACTAATTAGAAGCTTAGGAGCCTTAGACGATATTAATTTCTAGCTAATTAGAGGCCGAGAAAGCTAAATTACGTAATACGCTAACTATATATAATTCTATAGATATATATCTTACTTCTAACGCTATATCTAAATCTTCTTCTTCTTCTTCTTAACTAGCGATATCTATAGAGCCGATAACTACTATAAAAGTAATCGTAGGCTTACGAGGCTCGCGATCTATAACCGAAAGTATCGAGGGCTCTCGTCGCGCTACTAGCCGAGAGGACTCCGCCGCTCGAGCCGCGCGCTAGGACGCCCCTACTTAAGAGGGCTCCTTAGAGAGACGCGAGCCTAAACGAGAGAGTATCTCTAGCGGCGTCGAACCCCTATTAATATCGTTAAATTCCTCTCTATTTATAGTAAAGAACTAGCCCCTAGCGGAGGCCGGTCTCCCCTTAATAAGAGAATAAGAAAGAAGAGAAGAAACTTAGGAAGAAGAACTATAAATATATATACTTAAGGAGACTACTATAGAAGGCTTATCTCGCTAGGCGTCTCTAGATTAAGATAAGATAGTCTAAGCCTCTCGATATACTAATATCTTAGTAGATTTCGATAAGAAAAATATTATTATAATAAGACGACGTTCGAAACTAAGAAAATAGATATACGTTACTACGCTCGAAGATAATAGTATTAATAATAGTCTATCGACGTATTACTCTACCTTTATCGCCGTCTTTACTATCGAAAAAGATTTCTAACGAGTATATAGGAATACTCTCTCTCCTAAGCTAAAATTATAGAAATAGCTCGCTAATTACCTATTTCGAAAGAAATTCGAGGAAGTCGCGAGAGTTAAATACGAGGAACTTAAACGTAAGTAAACCTTCGTACTAGTCTCTACTAAAGGTATAAATAGACGTAATATCCTTTCTCTTATTTAGATATTTAAATATAAATTCGATAACGACGGCTACTTAAGTAAGTTTAAGGCGCGTATATATATACGAGGAGACTTATAACTTATCTTTAAAGATATTTATACGGCTACTCTTACTTTTAGTACCTTTCGTACTATTATAGCTATTACGGCCGCTTATAACCTAGATCTTATATAACTTAATACTATTAACGTATTCCTTAATAGTAAGATCGACGAGGAAATCTATATACGTTTCCTAGAAGGTTTTAAAGTACTAGATATAATACTTCGTCTACTTAAGGCGCTCTACGGCCTTAAGTAAAGCCCTTTATTATAATATAATACTCTTAGTAATACTCTTAAGGTACTAGGTCTTTCTTAAATACTAGGAGTTAATTATATCCTTAATAACGAGTTTCTTATCGTCCTATTCTATATAGACGATATTATCCTATACTATAGGCGTAAGTCTAAGAAGAGAGTTAATATAATTCTATAGAGTCTATAAGAGCGATTTACTCTACGTATTATACTAGAAGTTAACTAGTTTCTCGGTATACGAATCGTACGAGACCGAAAGCTACGTAAGTTATAGCTCGTATAGGATTTATATATCGATAAACTATTAGCTAAGTTTAATATTAATACGTACGGTAGGAAGATACCGTTAATATCTCTTTTAACTAAAAGTCTCGTGTCGTATAATGGCTAGGCTACTCTATAAGAGATATACGTATATTAATAGCGTATAGAGTCTATTAATTTTGTAGCTATAACGACGAGACCGGATATCGTAAGGGCTTACTCTATACTCTTATAATACTTACGTAATCTATTACTAGGATATATAGCTATCGCTAATAGAGTACTAGGCTACTTAAAGCGTATACGTACTCTTACTCTTAAATACTCTACTTCTCCTAAAATAACTTCTTAAAATAATAATAAATACGAGAGCGTTAATACCTTTAAGGTATACTTAGATACTATATTTACTAATAATACTAGCTAAAAGAGTTCCGACGGCTATCTCTTTATTCTATTCGGAGGCTCTATTAATTAGAAAGTCTTACGATAGAATACTATAATAACTTTAAGTATAGAGGTAGAACTACTCGCTCTATCTCGTATAGCTAAGGAAGCGCTCTAGTAAAGTCGCTTCTTCGACTCGATATATCTAAAACTTAACTAATCGCTTATTATTAAAGCTAATAATATATAGACTATTCGTCTACTAAATAAGGATAACTTTTAGCTATCTACGAAGCTAAAATACGTTAATATATATAAGTATTAGTTAAGATAGAAGGTATAAGCTAGTAAAATACGAATAGAATAGATTATAATCGCTAATATAAGAGTAGACGACTTTACGAAAGTACTAATAATATAAAATTATAAGCGATTCGTCTATATATATCTCCGCCTAGTCGATATATAGGCTATACTCGATAGTAAAGCGATAGATATAGTCTAAAGAGGGTATATTATATATAGTCGGCTCCGATACCCTACTACTAAGGAATACTTACGTTAGCTATACTTTCTAAACCTCGCTATCGACCCTAAATAACGCTCGATAACGACGTTGACGACGAGGTTTACCACTCTCTAGAATAATCTATAGACCGTACGAGATACGGTGTTCTCTCCGATTTCTATAGTATATATAGGACTACTCTATACACTGTCAAGTGGATAGAGCGAGAGCAAATACAACAATTTTAGCGCACCTGCCAACAGAACATGAGTGACGCTGCGAGAAATCGGAAGATCTCTGGCCGGCAGCACGCGGCTTTAGCCCGCACCCACTACACCGCACTGACACGTGCCCACGTGAATACCTGGTAGACTTCCCCACTGAATCACAAGCACGAGCACCCAGTTGACCTCGACACGAACACCTCTGAACGTTGTACGTTGTAGTGTGGGGGGATTCCTTTTCAAGGGATCTTCCGGCGTCGAAGATTACAGTGACAACCCAAGGACTGAGCTTAATGTTAAAGCTCAACCCGCCTCCTTCTTCGGTCACACACCCTTTCCATGCGCCTCGCTGCCCGACCGCCTAAGCGACGTAGCCCAACATGACTGCCAAAGCCACCTCGAAATGGGCCGTCGCCGACGAAGAGACTGCTGCAGCTATAGCGTTAAGGAAAAAAGAGAAAGAAGAGAAGAGACGCTTGAAGGAAGAGAGAGCTCGAAAGGCTTCGGCCGCAGCATCACCGCCCGACCTTTCTCACACTACTCCTGCTGACGACACCGAGCGAGCTGCCAAGAGACCGAGACTCTCTTCCACCGAAGAGAACGAGCCATCACGGTCAGCTGAAGAGGAGGGTTCGCATATGCTGCACTTCCCCAGTGGACAATTCGGCCCCTGCGTTCATGTTGACCAGTATGACCTCCTCAACAACATTGAGGAAGGCTCTTACGGTGTGGTCTCCCGCGCACGGACGAAATCTTCAGGCGAGATTGTAGCGTTGAAACGGTTAAAAATGGAACACACCAACGACGGGTTTCCAGTCACTGGACTCCGGGAGATTCAAACTTTAATGGCAAGTCGGCATGCAAATGTGGTCAAGTTATTAGAGGTCGTTATGGGGGATAGCTTGAAAGAGTAAGTCTTCCTACAGGAGTGCCCCTCCGTTATGCCCTGGAAAGCGCCGATACCAGACGTTGTTAACCATGTGGCTTGGTACCATTCTCGCCCAACAGTGTATATTTCGTCATGGAATTCTTGGAGCATGACCTGAAAACTCTTCTTGAAGACATGGCTGAACCCTTCCTACCCTCGGAAATCAAAACGCTGTTGCTTCAAATTGTTTCAGCAACCGAGTTTCTCCATTCCCATTGGATCATACATCGGGACTTGAAGACATCGAACCTTTTACTAAACAATCGCGGGGAGCTCAAGTTGGCCGACTTCGGCATGGCCAGGTATACCGGCAACCCTCCGCCTAAGTTGACTCAGCTTGTGGTCACGTTGTGGTACAGGGCTCCAGAGCTATTGCTCGGGGCTGAAGAATATGGGTTCCCCGTCGACATTTGGAGTATAGGATGTATTTTCGCCGAGCTTTTGACCAAAGACCCTTTATTCCAAGGCAAGAATGAAGTCGACCAGTTGTCAAAGATCTTTGCATTACTCGATACGCCCACCAACGACACGTGGCCTGGCTTTCGATCATTACCCAACGCCAAAGCTCTACATCCTGTTATATCCAGCTCGGCCCGTCGGTCATCCCTTTCAGCTTCGAAGTTTCCATATATAACGAAGGCCGGTCTTCGTCTACTCTCGTCTCTGCTGGAGCTGTATCCAATTGCCCGACCAACCGCCACCGAGATTTTCTCACACCCCTATTTCAGGGAAGATCCTAAGCCCAAAGCTAAAGAAATGTTCCCCACATTCCCCAGCAAAGCCGGACAGGAGAAGCGGCGGCGCAGAGCCACCCCTCAGGCTCCAGAGCGTGGCGATGCTCCCAGACTGGACGAACAAGATGTTACTGACATTTTTGCCAGACGGGCTGATGAGGAGCATGGTGCCGGGTTTGCTCTCAGATTGGGGTAGATGCCGGTCCGAAAACAAATCCACGAATCCATGCACAGCAACCAAATGTTATATACGTGGGATAACGAAATTGATACCGTACAATTACTTGTGGCGATCCAAAGTGCTCTTTATTGGTTTATGTCGTTCTGAGGCAGACTCTTCAAGCACCTTCAATCTGGGAATGGACTTGACAGCCTATCGCATTATATGTCATGCCTTCCATGGGGCGGCAATGCTTCTTGCACACTGCGAAGCCCACGATGGTTGGATGTTCGATATGGGCACTGTCCAAGTGCATTTCCAAGAACTTTGGACCACACTCATGAGGAACTCGGCAGATTGACTTGGCAAGTTCGGGACATGGGGTGCCATTTCTAAACGTAACCCATATAATGTCGAAAGTAGATGATATGCGTCCCGGAGATAAAATAATATCTCCGGCTCTGTCATCATAGTACCTTCACATGTTAGCATATTCCGCGGACATTGGATAGTAGTGAACACGAGCAGCCATCGACGATACTATATGCCAGCACCCAACTGCGACTTTGCTTCCAAGACCCCCAAGAACTCCCAAGGGTAGCCGGTCTCCTTGCACAACCAATCAAACGTTGATGTGCAATCTGGACCAATAACAGACCATCCAGTGCCGCCAAATCTGGTCAACAGAGGTTCAAGTTATCAAGGGACAATTTGACACTTTTTATCATTGTCACATCACGATTTCCTGGTTAATAATCAGTCCCATTGAAGGTCGTCATCCAGGCCTCCTCGATTACAATACACGCAAGTCTGTTAGCCCGTGCAGTCGAAAGCGTGGCCAGCCCTGAGTTGAGTGTCGAGGGTTCTAGTACTCGATCAAAAATAACTTTTCCGGCGCTCCCGAGGCTCCGGGTCTGGGGAAGCAGCGACTACTAGAACTGCACAACGGAGTGAGGACACGACTACAGCACCTACCTCACTCCACTGTCGCTGTTCGCGTTATCATTTTACACAACTCTTTTCCAGTCGAAGCATTGTTTTCTATTCACTATCTCGGCGGCATTATCATCTACTATTGGTGTTGTGCGCAACATACTGAGCGCTGTGCATCCCGATCGACTACCAACAGCCAACAACACAGGGCACATCACACTTCAAGATCGTCAAAGAAGATATTCACCCGCCCACTTCAACAATGCCGTTCACAGTTCTTACCGACGCCGAGGTGCGGAAGATGCTCATCTCGCTAAACAAAGAGGATGCCGAGGCGTTACAGCAAAGCCTGGCCGAAGCACTGCACTCGTACTCCACAGGCGACACGAATTCACCCTGTTCGTCGTCCTTCCAGCCGCAGCGGACGGTTATCCGTAAGAATGGAGTGACCACGCTGTTCATGCCGGCCTCGACGGGCACCACAGTCGGGATGAAGATCGTGTCGATGGAACAGGCGGAGGATCCTGACCCTGATCCCAGCGATCCTCCTCTGTATCACCACCATACGGCCCCTTTTGGCTCGGCCTCGGCCCCTTCCCAACCAAATAGTAAAAAGTCTTCATTGTCATCGACCACGCCCTCACACTCGCGATCAAACAGCCACGCCAGAACTCCATCAGGCAACTACAATCACAACCACCACAACAGCATCTCGCGAACCACGACTGGGTCATCTAGCCGGGCCAAGTCACCGGGTGCCAGGCTGCCGGATCTAGGCAGTTTGACACTGACATCGACGCCAGCATCCGCATCGACTGTCTCTGTAAGTAGCACTGGCCGAGACTCAATCGACGGAGCCACGTTTGAACCTCCGGCGTCGATGTCCACCACTCACAGCACGACTCCGCGCGGTTCAGTAACCCTGCTGGACGCGACCGGTATCCCAATGGGGATTGTAAACGCAGAAGAACTGACGGCGTTCCGGACCGCGTTGGCAGCGACAATCATGCTACGGCGACGGACGCACGTACACACGATCACAGTGTTCGGAGCAGGCAAACAAGCGTACTGGCATATCCGACTGGCACTGCTTCTCAAGGGCGACGAGATTCGACACGTCAACATCATCAACCGCACGTTTGACCGGTGCATCAAGCTCATGCAGGCGTTCCAGTTCTCCGAAACCGAGTCGCGGCCTGAATGGCGGTCGACCATCAAATTCTCGGCCATGAGTCCTGGCTTCAACGACTACGGCCGCCTGCTCAAGGAAGAGGTGCGCAAGGCCGATGTCATCTTCTGCTGCACCCCATCAGTTGATCCTTTGTTCCCCGCCGAATTCTTGATCTCTCCACAAGGCGAGCGCAAGGGCCGATATATTTCGTGCATCGGCTCGTACGCGCCGCACATGTGCGAGATCCACCCGGACGTCTTCCGCCGCGCCGTCGAGCCCCATCGGCCTGGGCATCGTCACCACCACAAACACGCCCAGCAAGGCGGCGTGATCATCGTCGACAGTCTAGAGTTCTGTCTTCAGGAGGCCGGTGAGATCATCCAGGCGAAACTGAAACCCGAACATCTCGTCGAAATCGGCGAGTTAATGATGATCAAGAAGGCCGTCACCGCGGAGTCGGAGTCCGGCGGCTCCGGCGAACAGGGCCTCGCCGATTGGCTGTCCCGCGGTAATGTCATCTACAAGAGTGTCGGCATGGGGCTGATGGATTTGGTCGTCGCCGGCGACTTGATTGCCATGGCCAGGGAAAGAGATATGGGGACTACTGTTGAGGACTTTTGATACTGACGACCAGCGACCGCCAAACAAACAGTTCAGCCGGAGTCATCAACATGAGACACCAGAAGCCTAATAACGGGAACAGGAGAAAGAAGAGAAGTGTGTATTATCATTATAGACTACGAGAACCCCATCACTTTGTGGGACCCCCCATTTACTGGCAATCGATTGCTCTAGTCGCCCTGCGTACCGAAACCAGATCGATCTAGAAGTCAAGCAGTCGTACGTCTGAGGGAGGCTTTGACAAATGGTTTTGGCTCGGCAGCTTGCTCCAGCAGATAAATTAATGACAACGAACCCGAGACGGAGACGACGAGAACCGAAGCGAGACAAACGACCAGAACCAATGATAGGAGCCGCGAAGATTTTCGAAACCCTATGACTGGACAGGCCATGTGAGGTGAGAGACACTCAGTGTGGTCTATCAGACGTCCAGTTTGGCTGCTTACTCCACTTACGCTTGTCTGTCCCAAGAGATCGTGTTTACGTACTACCCTAGCTACCCTTCGACAGACATTCGTGGATGGCTTGCCGGGTGATTGCTGTCGAGGTCGGGATGGGTATGGCGGACGCAGAAGGTTTCTATATCTCAGATCTTTCGGCCTCGTCTGATACCTACCAGTCAGGCATTCTTCACAGAGCCTTGACCGCTTCAAGGGCGCGGAGAGTTGTCCATAGATAGATGTATTATTATGCGTCCCTGTGTCCTTCGCTTTTGCCATTGTTTTATAGCAGAGTATCGTCGTATAGCATGGTATATGCTACAGTAGTTAGGGGCCAGGTGGTGGACTCTCTTGCCCACGTGGTATCATACGAAGTCATGTCATTGATATCAAGCCTTGAACGATTAAGTGGAGAGACCGAAGACGCCCTTACTCGTTTACTGCTCGATGGTAAATTACTTTTCAAGTGACCATTCCCGTCGAATCTCAGAAATCCAATCCGACACGGGAACTGTGGTCCCCGCCCGCCTCACTCGTCCGGGACCTCTGCGCTTGGCCTCCATTTCCTCCCAGGGAGGAACGTACAGAAATTCATGCGTCGGGTCGCAGACCTTAATCTCCAGAGCGTTTCTGACATGGAGCTCGTGACACGGACTCGCGAACATGACGTCCAGACAGTCCATGCAGATGTGCATGTCGTTGGCGTACGTCCACATGTGTTGACAGGTACCGCCGTCGCACTTGTATATGAGGTTTCCTTCGGGTTTTCGAAAAGGCGTTTTGGGCTCGATCTCTTGGGGAGGCACTAGCCGCTGCGATGTAACAGACACACCTCCGCCGTCATTCCTTTCGTCATCTACATCACCATCCTCCTGTTGTTGGGTGAATTCGTCCGGTCCAATGAGCGACCATGCCGCGAGCGCGTTGTCCTTGTCGCCATAATACATGAGCGTGCTGGCTAGGCGCAGATATCCCTGCCAGTCATTACTGGGGTCTTCGTCCGACAGCAAATCAATGCCGATTTTGATATGTCCTCGCAGACAATCCCTAGCTTCCTTCTTCAGCCCGACCTTGCCATAGTGGCGGCCGACAAGGAGTCTGGTGTCAATGGTGCTTGCCATGGCGTTGAGGTTGTCTGCTGAAGCCGCCTTCGTCTGGCCCGAAAGTCGCAACAGCTTGTTCACGATATTCAAAGTTTCTGGCGAGTCTGGTGGTGATGATGATCTTTGCTGCTGCCGCAATTGCTCGTAGTAGACAATGGACAGCGCTTTGGCAGCCATATAGCGTGCAGGAGCGAAACCGATGTCATCGGCATCGAGAAACGAACTTTCCCACAGGTCCAGCGCTTCCTCGCGATCATCGACTGTCTGTGGGTATTTGTACAGAATGTCGGCGAGTTCACAGCTCAACACGACGCGATACTCGGCCTTGGTGCGCGTGTCCCGTACCAGATAACCGGGGTCCATGGCTTCTTCCAGGGCAGCCCGATATACTGATTGGACAAACGGGATAGTGCCCGTCCTGTTCCCCGCAACGAGAACCGTGGAATGTAAATCGAGGTCACCAATGTAGGTGTGGAGTGTCATGCTCAAGCGACTGATACCGTGGGCGGGGTCTTTGTCGCTGCTCAGCTGTTTTAGTATCTCGATGATGTCGCCGTTTCTCCCCTGTCGCCGGAGCGCCACGATCTTCTGCATTATAACACCGTAACTGCTGGGGTTGTCGGCCAGTTGTTGGTCGTACAGGACAATAGCCTTGTTATACTCACCTAACTCGACCAGAACCTGGGCGAGCGAGAAACGAAGAGTGATGATGTGCTCCGCAGGAGATGGATCTTTCGCCTCACCTGTCTCGATTCGACGGAGAATGTCCTGATACAATTGTGCCGCGAGGGACCACTCTTCTAAGACGTCGTACGTCGTGGCCAGTCCATAATCCGAGAACCAGTGGTCATGTTGCAGCTCACCCGCTGCCTGGTAGGCTTGAACGGCCTCCTCGTAGTGCCCGAAGACTCGATATGCGCGAGCAAGACACCGGGTCCATTCAAAGTCTGGCTTGTCAACATGCAGCCGCTCGGCAGCCCATCGGGATATATGGTTGATCTGTTTGACTGTGAGAAGCTTGGTGGTGAAATCAACCTTGGCCAAAGAAGGGTCCTTGCGGCGATGCAGCTTGCGAAGAAATGCATACAACACTTGCATCATAATCACAGGATGACCTTGGTATGTCACGGATTGGCGGAAGAGACAATCCGCAACATACACTGCCACATGCTCCAAAAGATCAGCCTCGGGAAAAGAGTTCGAGGTCAAAGTTTTGACCCACGCCTGGTTTCTGGGAGAGCACGTTTTGGTTGTGGCAGGGTCCTTCAGCCAGCCTAAGACAAGGTCAACGGCTTCGTCTGTAAAGAACCATCTGTCCGCGAGATCGAAAAGCTGGTCTGCAGTCCACCATTTGGCGATGGTGTCCTGAACACTGAACATGTCAACAAGGTACTGTCCTACTCGTGCTTTGTCGTTGTTGTCTGTTGCGGTCAACTCGATTTGATGTAAATGGTCCACAAAGAAGTGCCATGCATAGTCATACAAGGGTTGAAGCTCCACTCGCTCATAGCTGGAGATGATGTGACAGCAATCCAGAAGAACTTGCAAATGAACTTTGTTGAGGTCCACGTTAATGGTTGCAGAGTTTGCCGATAACTTGCGCTGAAAGAATTCCTCGAAGCCAAACTTGATATACAAGTCCTCGTCGCAGACGCTGTCAAGGAGGTGGCGGATGATTCTGACTTCGGCGGGATGGACCTTGCCGCTTTTCGGTTCATGTACCTCTTGCTCAGACTGAACAAGGCTGCTGAAGTATTCCTTAATAGAATCAGAAACCAATGTCACCGAAGGTTTGTTATGCTCGAGATAGTCGGGTTTATTCACGATGAAGAACGCCGAATATTGACGGCACAGCTGATCGTACAACGGCCGCAGTGAGGCTTCTCCATTGCGCAGGTAGAGAACAGCTTCGAGCTCTTCAACTGTTAGAGTTCTCATTGCGCTCATGACCCAGGTAAGCAAAGCGTTGAGATCGTGGATGTCTCGGGTCTGAAAAGTCTGGTTACATCGTTTGATTTCGCGGGCGATCGTGTCAGACCTCTGAGATTGGTTCACGAGGACTTCACGGACCTCAGCGGGCCAGCGCTTGGATCCTATTTCCTTCAGGAGTAGATCGACATTGACAAAGTCGCCGTTGGCACCTTGAGTGAGACCCAAGAATACCTCCTGTTGAAGGCTGCGGATTTGCTTTGAGCTCTTTTGAAAGATATCCATTCTGTCAAGTCTGTCAGCCACAAACCGTTCTATATCAGTAGCATTACTGGTGGCAAGGTCGATTTCCGCGGTCTTGAGGTCGACAGGGTCTATTAAGGTTGCTAAGACTGGTGTCCGGCCTGAAAGGAGTATTCTGAGGTGGCGTAGTTCGTCGGACTCGTGTTCTGCTTGCATGCGTCTCAGAAGATCTGATAGTGCCTTCACACCCCAGTCGCCCAGCTGGTCAACACCGTCGAAGACGACATAGAATGTCTCATGACTACGCAGGCATGGCTCGAACAGTCGACTGAAGAGTTCAGCGGGGCTGTCCGGCTCCACCCAACTCTCGCAGATGGCAGCCAGCTCCTTGCGGTAGACCGGTTCCTGGGCTAGTTGCAGGGCAGCAGTTTTCAGTGCCTTGATCAGGCATTGCATGCCCTGGTCGAAATTGGTTCTTCCAGCATCCAGTTGCTCAATATAGTGATAGGCTATGCTTGTCCTTGATTGCGCTGCTGTCGGTTGGATGTAGCGTTTCTCCAGATTATGGATGATTGTCGTGACGAGAAAGGACTTTCCGTATCCCTCATTTGCCGACAAGAGCAAGACTCTATCCCAGGCGGCAGATCGGTCCCTCCATTGGAGAAAGGATCTGTTCTGTTCGATCCACTGTCCACTGCCGGGGACGGTGTCAGCTAACAGACGGCGGTACGATCTTGCCTGCTCCTCGGGCCCGTTTTGCACACCGAGTTTGACCTTGATTTTGTTGAGCAGCTTCTGCTCCAGGCTGTCCGACTCCTTTCTGCGCGTGTCGTCCAACATTCTGTCCAGGGAAGCTTTCACACCAGCTATGGCATCTTGAGCTTCGCCAAACCCTTCTTTCACAGCTCGATAAGTAAGTGTTGTCTTCATCTGCGATTCTCTTTCAACCAGAGACCTCAGATTTGCGATAGCACCACTGACACCATCATCTTCGTTAAAGGCGAAAACCCTGAGGAACTTCAGCAGCTTGTTACCTTGGAGGACACGCACGGAGAAGTCGCAGATGGACACAAAAGACAGGAGAATCTCATGAATGATCTTCCGAAGGGGCTTGTCCACTTCTTTCATCTTGAGGTAGACAGCAAATCTCTCGAGAACGTCCGATACCTCATTGAAAAGTTGCGTGAGGCTGGTGAAGATGTTTCTATAGTTCTGTCCGGCGGTGATGAGGTAGGAAACAGCATTGAAACAGAGCGAGCTGGGTCCATACACCTATGCTACCCATTAAAACACTCTAGTCTGGTGGAAGATTCCGGTGTCCCGAAGCTCCTTACCATGCTCGCTGCCGAGGAGACGATCCCTCCTAAGTTTTGGATCAGCAGCAGGGTCTTCTCGACGACAGTTTTGAGTACTTGGTAGTCGGCTTGTTTCTTTTCGTCGGCGTGTCGCTTCAGCTTGAGTTGAGCAACAACGGCCTCAGGACTTTGGGGCTTTTCTTGCGAAAGATCAATGCCAGTCGTGGCCGCGAACGATCGGCAGGCCTTGTCCCATGCCTCGTGAAGATCGTATTCATCATTTTCCGTCGACATTGTGTTGAAATCCTTGCACAGTGCGCAGGGAGGTGATAAAGGGGTTACTAGGATGCGCAAGGCATGGATATTGGGCGGTGGGTATTATATATCTGGGGTAGATGGGCTGAATAAGCTTACATGGTGCCAAGCTTCCCGGGGCAGGGGATGGCATCGTATCGCTCAGCTTGTCCTTTTGAAAATGTGGCGCAATAGTCGAGCCATTGACGATCGACGACCTGCGGCTGACAGAACTGATTGGCGTTGAAGTGAGGGCATGTATCCTGGAGCAAAGTGTTTGGCGAAAAAAGCAATTGTATGCAAGAACCGTGCTAGCAGGAGAAATATTACCAGATGGCGATGTCGCGATTGTCCGCCAAACGCATATAGTATGACTTTCACTCTCAAGGCATCCGGTCGCCCTGTCACCTCCACTGGACACCGAACATCTTGCCCACTTTGCCCTTGACACCCCGTTCCGCCTCCCTATTCTCCAGATATATCGTCTCATGGCCCTTGACAGTCAAACTGAGCAGCTGGTACTCCAACCGATCTCCGTCTCTCGGTTTGATCATATGAACACTGACCACACCCGTACCGTCGGGCCCTTCAACGTTGAAATGCATGCGGAAATGAGTGTTGCCGAACCGATCAGTTTCGGTACTGTGCGCAATGGGCCTGGCGCGCGCCCACTTGCTGGTCGTGGGTTCGCCGTACGCCTTTATCTGGGATGCAGGGCCTAGCAGTTCCCGACATTCAGGAGATGATTTAATGCGCTTTACTGCCGCGTTGAATTGGACGGTTGCACTGTCTGGTGCGAAGAGTTCAGTGTAGAGGAGGTAGGATATGGTAATCTAGCAGAGGAGCCGGAGGGCAATGTCAGCATGCTGTATAATCGGCGATTGACACCGGGGGAGTCTCTGGACCGGATTGCAAGCGCCAAGAGGTAAACAGATTCGCGCCGGACACAAGTTTGCGGCGCAAGCGACGCAGGCAGGCAGGCAGAGAAGAGATGGTAGTGGACGAGTATTTGACGCAGAGGAAGCCTGGCGGGCCTGCATTGCAAAGGCATGGGAGAGAAGAAAATCATCTGCTTACAGTTCCAACCAGACCCAGGGAGACCAGGAGGAAATTGAACATTTGCTGAGTCCCTCGCGCGGCTTTTTCTCCAGTGCTCAATTCGGACCAGTTGTACCGGCCGTCATCACTGGTCACACTAATCGCTCGTCTGCTCGGGCCTGAGGGTGTACCACTGCCACTGCCGGTGTTGGTACTGGTGCTGGCATGACGCTGACCGATGCTACGGCCGCAGTGGTGGGTGCGGTGCGCGCAACATGTGGTCCTGGGCGGCTTGCACGAGGATTTGCGGCGGTTGGAATGGGAGGAAGCAAAGTTCCGAGTGGTCTGAAAGCCGAAGAGCAGTCCACGGCAGGAAGAGGCATGCTGAGCGCCTTGGACAGCGCAGTGGTCGAGTCGCGTGCCCGTGCTGGGCTGCCAGCGGGTGCAAGTGCGCATGCGGCATGCCTGCTGGAATGCATAAGCCTTGCTGGCCATCCTGACTGCTGGTGACACTGGTACTGCAACTGCAATGTGACGGCCACTACAAACAAAATGAACAACTGCGGGTGCACGGCGTGGAGGAGCTGATGGTGCAGCAAATGCGGACTCTCGACAGTTTACAATGTACGAAATTGAGATGGTGTCCCCCGCAGCACAAAGTGCACAGTAGACCACTGGCAGGGACAGGACTACTAGTGCGGAGCACATGCACCATAGTACAAGCCAAGATAATGCTAGTACTGGGGGCAGCATGCACTGGCACCTCCTGTTGATGCGGCCCATTCGCACACAGGCGTTGGTGAGTGTAGGCTACGGTACATGGTAGTGACTACCTAGGTATGAGAGACTGTGAACCCGCATACTAGTCCATTAGGGCTCTTGTCTAGGTATGTATACTAGTACTAGAACTTAAAGATATAGTCACGTGAACAACCTTAGGGGGATGCAGTACTATGGGAGGAACCACGTGATCATAAAAACTCACTTCAGTCTGACAAGGAATTATTTTTATTTTAGTGAAGAATTTTTGCATCCTACATAGCATCTGCCGAGCTTTTAGTCTGACGCCGAGCTTTTTAGAGGCTCGGCAGAGTGGAGAATTATTGACCAATCTTTGGCTGCACTCAACTTTTGAAGCAGCCCAACCACGTGAGCCATTGCACCCCAGCTTAGATAATCCGCAGAATTTATACGGAGGAGTATTTATCCTGTGCAGAAACATCTCAACTCACTGCACTGACGGAACCTCATGACACTGGCCTCACCCACTGCATTATTACACAGGATGTCTCGCCTCAAGTCAGGGCAATCTGAAGCAAGAGGCACGCACTCTTATGTAAAACAGAGGCAATGCCCAGGGCTTTCCCTCTTACCAGTCTACAGTGTCAAGTCCCAGCAATGTTAGAGCAGCTTGCTCCCACCACGGGCGCTCAGCCATCAGGCGAGCAACTGCCACCTTGCTGCATGATAGAATGCATGATATCTCGGAACGAACTGTTCTCACACTGGCAGTACACACCACCTGGCACCTCTCCATTGCCCACGTGGCGACTTGACAGCAAGACTCGGAATCGACTGCAGTGTGCCTTGATCTGCCACTGCAGTGCATCAAGAGCTGGAACTGCGGTGCCCCCAAGGCATGGCCTGCATGTATCTGGTGGGAGACGACCACCACCGCGGCCTCCCGAGTTGTGGACACAGAACTTGAATGCTATGCTGCCCCTGCAGTCGCCCTCGGTAGGTCAGGAGTCCTGGTACACTTGTGCCTGAGTATGCTCCTTCAGCAATCAGCCATGCACTGGGCAGCGCCACAGTCTTGTGGTCCGAAGTCACTGGTGCACTCGAGTACTGTCCGACTCTGCCCCACGAGGTCGACAGCATGTCTCTTGTCATTCACGGCCTGTCCCTCGCTGGCTAGCTCGCAATGCAGCAGGTAGACCACACTTGCAGCCGGTTGCACTCTGGCTTCTTGACGCGGACCAACCTGGTGGTCACGGTGGCAGACCACTGCCAGTGCTCCTGATCGGTTCATTCATGAAACCTCGCCTGTCTTGACTCCCTTTGCACGACTCCCTTTGCACGACTCCCTTTGCATGTGTTCTCCTGCTTTATCGCCACTCGGCTCCCAACACTGGGCACTCATTGTGCCACTGACGCAGGGTACAGTCACTTGCATACCAGGTATCTGGGTTATCGTCATGATATGCCCTCTAGTTTCCACAAGGACGGGTTTCGGCTGCATCAAGACACAGAGCCGTATTGCTCGCGACAAAGGCAAGTTCTCTAATCCAGAAGCAACGAGCAGCACTGGAGTTAGCCAATGCGCACATCATACTCAACCACCCTGCCTCTAGGAACTCTTGGTATTGGTCGACGAATTCGGACAGTGCTGCTCATACTATAGAACCTTGTCCTGCTTCAAGCTACTGACTTGCTAGTAGCGTGACATCGCTGCAGCCAAACTTTTTGCCACTCATGCTCCAGACTACTGCAGAAATTGCGCGTGCCACCGAGGCCACTTACAGCATGCTCGGTTGATGCTGTCAGTCGCATAGCGTCACCAATGTCAAGATCTACTTTGTGCCATCGATGAGGCCAATGGAAGGCAGCAACTAGCATTCTCACTACATCGCTTGACAGCTTCAGAAGCAAATTTCGATGAAAACTAAAAAGCATTTCAAACACTGAAAAGAAGATGCTGCAATGGGCCCCTGAAAAAAGGAGCTCCGCAAAGTAAGTCACAATGATCCGTGGCTGCAGTCGAATTGAACTGTTAGAAAAAGCAACAACCCCCAGCAATTGCTACATGTCGTGCCAGTTGGATCATAGCCGGTGGAGAAGCCATGCACATATGCCGATGCTGCTTTCGAACAGTGCTGGGGACCGTCATTTCATGATCCCTGACAGACCCCGTTTCGAGCATCTCGGTCGAATTACTGGCTCCTGTTTTTGTGAACATGCGATATTCTCCTTGCGCAAAATTTTGCAAGCCGGGAGCGTGAACGCCGAGCAGCTTACACAGGTCAAAGCTTTGAGAGCACAGCCACGCTACCAAGACTCACTGCATACTGGTCCCTCTTTGCCACGTGGAGCAACCCGGTCTCCCGGAAACCTCGCGTTTGAAAATCTCGGACGTGGGAAACATTGTGTCAATTGCCTCCACGATCAGTGTCAAAAGCATGATTTCATTCTGCTTATGACGTATCAACCGAGTACGCAGTCACCACCTAACTTCAAGGAAAATATAAAATCGCAGGTGGGTAACCCAGATGATGGTTGTTCTCTGACTTCAGGGGTATTTTCGTTCTGGTAGTCGGCTTCTGGGACAACCACCTGCATTCAAACCTCCATGCCAAATAAAAACTTGTCATCAAACCTGTTGACGATCACATTGGCACACCAAACATTTCTGGATTAAATGCGGCCTGTACTCCGTAAAACACAATCTCCCAAAGTCGCCCCACGTCGCGAAGGGGCTAAGCTAATCGTGAAGGGAATAGGGAGATGCAACGGGGTTCACTATCGAGTTTGGAAAAGATGGGATAAGCACGGGATTGATGAAAATTACTGTCAGTTCACCGGTCCAAGACACCCGCCAGGAGCCGGCGGGGAGGTGGAAGAGAGGCGGGTCGGGACGGGAGCCATCAGGTTATGATGGTGTAGGAAGTTCCCTATACTTCTCCGGGTTCGTGTCTCCGCATATATCGAGTTGCTCCTTGAATAGATTTTTACTCAATAACCCAGCCATCGTATCTCAAGAGACTCCGTCGCGTCATGCGGCGAACTTCGTGAAGTCTGTCGCGGACCTTAACGAAGTATCGGTGTTCGGATTTCTGTTCAGAGGCAGCACCGCAATTACTCGTGGACTGCCTAGGACGTATATCGTGCCTTTGTGAAGGACTTTTTCATCTTGGGCATCACTCTGGCAGGTCATGAAGAGAACCGGATAAGAATTGGTAGCTCGACTTACATGCCTCCTGCCCAACTTGACCCTGCTGACATGATATCACTCGTTCAGCAGTACGTCAGCCTAGATCTTGGACTCGAGGTTCACCAACTCTGCGACAAGCTCCAAGAGCTGGCTGCAACTGAAGATCCCGCTGTAATGGTCATGACGAAGTTCTTCATACCATTCACCGTGAAGCTGTACACGATGGCTGCTGAGCAAATCACCACCCCAGTACCAGTGAATCTACAGGACAGAGTATCCGTCTTCACCGCTGAAATCATCAATCTGTTCGCCAACCGATGCGTCGGCCCCAGATTCACACCACGTGCCGGGTGCGGATGCGGCTGCGAGATGTGTCTGCAGGTCGATTCTTTGCTCGGCAATCCCTCGCAAGAAGAGTTTTCGATCTCTGCAGGAAATTAGGATGGAGTGCGAGACTTGACTGATCGGTTGCCTGATATCGACCAAGGCATCGACCAAACCTTCTGAAAAGGAAAAGAGCCCGACAATGAAACGCAGGTCGAACCCCGTTTCACGCTGAAGGGTCGCAAGACGACGAGGGCATGGTTCCACGCCGTAAAATCATGGGAGCAAGACCGAGACGTGGCTCAGCCGATGTGTGACAAGGCAATCGACGACGAGGGACTGAGGAACAGCCTGAGAGGGTGCCTGGATCGGCTCGGAGAGGACGAGCGTGGATTGTCCGTATAGGAAGAAGCTTTGTTTCAGAACTTGTATTTCCGTTCATGGCTTCATTATTGTCCAATTTGCACGAATGCACCCAGAGCGGGTGACAATACCTTTCCGGTATCTAACGACAGTTTGATATCTAGCGAGTACGCCACATAGTATTGCCCATAGTATTGCCTAGAATCTGCTTAGCTTCGATTGGACCTTCTCTTCATGCCTACCTTAACACAATCCTGATACAAGTGGAGATAAGTCATTTCCAGTTCACTGAAACAGTCCCATCGTCGTGAACATGGCCAGTGCCAAGCCGCCTGTCGTCTTTATCAATGAACCGTACCGAAATGAGTTCAAATGACTGGTTTAGTGTCGTTCGGATCGTCGTGAGACTTGTGAAGGTGAATGCCTTTGATCCGGGCCTTACATTAATATAGAGTAGTTAATATAGAGCATTTAGGCGTAAATTAGGCTTATAACTATTATTAGGGACGCTAACGATAATAAAATTTACTCTAGTATCTATTAATCTCGTAATATATAGACTATATCTATATACTCTATAGATAAAAGAATACCGTATCTTTTACGGCGTATATAACGTTATAGAGTATTCTAGAGAGTAGTAAATCTATTATCGACGTCGTTATCGAGCGTTATTCGTCAATAGTGAGGTTTCTGTCTTAGATACTGACATAAGGGTCTTGGTAGTGGAGCATCGGAGCCGCCTGCATACAACACCTGACAATGTATCTCCCCACCAAACCTACCTGCTAGGTACCTTACGGCGCAACGCACAAACGAGGCTGTGGCCTCTACCGTGGGTGTGGGGTTGCACCCTGGGGTAGGAGACAAGCGTATTTCTTCCATTTGCTTCGCCAACGATGTGCAGAGCGTCCTCCAACGCAGCCGCCAGGGAAGCGGCATCTCAACGGTTGCACTACAAAAGCAAGCAGATTGACTTGACCAAATGTTTAGAGCCATTCGGCGGCTGCATCAGGTCGCGAAAACATCCGCAAGCACCGAGAAACAGTTCGTCAGCACCCAGGCTACCAGAATGGACTTCTCACAGCCTTTCGAAGAGGAGCGACTTCCGTGGTACAACTCAGATCAATTTTATCCCGTGCGCATGGGCGAGATATTCCACTCCAAATATAAAGTGGTGGGAAAGCTCGGGTACGGCGCACACTCTACAGTTTGGCTTTGCCGAAACATGAAGTATGTGGTACTTTCGGATCTAGCCTCATACATCGCTGACTTCTTGAACGGAGATACTGGCTTTGTGGCCATAAAAGTCTGCAACCGACAAGTTGCCCAGTCCCCACGCATTCATCGAGAGTTGCGATTTTACGAGCACGTCAGCACTCTCAATTCGGAGCATTATGGCCAAGCCTACATTCGTGGCCTCTTCGAGACATTCACAATTGACGGTCCCAGCGGTCAACACTTGTGCCTAGTCCACCCGCCGATGCACATGACGATTGGAGAACTTCAGCGCCGGAATCCGTCCCATCGGCTCAATAAGCAGATTTTGAAGTGGACTCTGTTCAATTTACTCAGCGCGCTCTCCTTTCTACATGATGAAGCTAAGGTGACGCATACAGGTAACTTATTGTGGCCACGATATCCCCTGAATTTTGACTAATAACTTGAAATAGATATCAATCCGTCAAACATTATGTTAACTGTCGCCGATGAGTCTATCCTCGAGAATTTTGAAAGGGGCGAAATTGAGGAGCCCTCGCCCATGAAAGCCATTGATGACGTCCGCACAATCTATGGCTCCCGCAGTCTAGGTCTTCCAAAAGATTCCCTGTGGGGCCCGCCGGCACTATGTGATTTTGGAGAGGCTCGAATCGGAGGACCTCATAAAGGACTTATTCAGCCTGAGATGTATCGTGCTCCCGAAGTGTTGTTCAACATGGAATGGAACACAAGTGTTGATACCTGGAATGTTGCTGTCTTGGTAAGTATAGCTTTCACCCGCAGACTCCTCTGTACCATAATACCCACTGAATTCCACATCTTAGATATGGGATCTGTTTTTGAGAACCGACATTTATTTTATGCCCTGGACGAAAACAAAGAGCCGTCAGCGACTCACCATGTTGCTGAAATGGTTGGATATCTTGGTCTCCCTCCTTTTGAGTATATACAACGAAGTGAAGTCACAAGGAAGGTTTTTGATGAACAAGGTCAGTATATCAAACATTCCTCCAACCCACACATCAGACTTATATGTTTCAGGTCGCTGGAAGGGCGCAGGCGGGGTAGATGTGCCACTGCTCTCACTTGAAGAGTCGGAAGAGGTTTTGGATGGTGAAGATAAAGAACGATTTCTCAAATTCATGAGATCAATGCTAAGATGGCTACCGGAAGAGAGAATGAGAGCTTCTGAACTTCTGAAAGACCCGTGGCTACAGGGAGAAATTCCTTGAATTCTCTGTCGGTCTGGTACAAATCTCACGAGAACAGAAGACATCGCACAATCGACGCAACGTAGTAACGACTGATCCCGTGGAAGAAGGATTTTACGCAGAAACCGAGCGTTTAATGAGGGACTGACGAGTCAGACACGGTTGACCTGAGCACGGATCCAGGTAGGAGTTCATGACAGGAACGTAAGGTAGGTAGTAGAATAGAACTGGCATCTAGAAAACACCTCAATGTCATCTGCTAACTCAACAATAACTCTCCTGACTACGGAAGTCTTTCCCCTTTCGTTTGGGCGCCCTTAGTCATGGTTGTCCGACCGTGTGTTGCCTTGGAGAGCCGCGACAGATCGCACGGTTCAAGTTAATGAGGTGCATTGTTTTTCAACGTGGTGTCTTATGTGTCACCCATTCCTCTTCCCAAATCCCACGATAGATTACGCGACTCCTCCCTTTGTCGCTTCATCGATGCCAGGCCTTGGCTCCGGAGGACCAGTTTTGCTTGTCGAGCAAGTTTACATATCTAGAGTCTTTATAGACATCCGCAATATTCGGCCTGACTAGCAACTCTCAAGACACTGTCCTACCATCATAGGGCGAGTTGTTTGTAGCTCATTCGGGATGTCACTTCCCTCGAGACAGCTACTGGTGCAGAAACCCGTGCCCGAGAAGGTCTTCGGCAAACGGCCTCTCTGTTAGGGAGCTATGGTAGAGGCTACGGGCGAAGGCGAGGAGCAGCTCCTTATCCTCCCCCTCCAAGACACCCTTACGTGTCCCGAGGCTCTGATCGGGGTTTGGCATTAGGGCGATCCAGTTGCCTTCGATCATCACCAAGGCCATGGCTGTAACTCAAGTAGCATTCTCCTTTCTGGCAACACCCCCCGAATACCGCTGTTGGAATTGCCAAAACCGACTTCAGCGGAAGACTGGAACGGTACCAGCAGACTTTTCCCTCGAGACTCTGATATCCCTCCAGACGACTGTGCTGATGACGCCGACCGAGATGATGCATGTTCCAGTAATGAACAACTTCTCCATTGCCTGTGAATAACTCAGGTCGATTGCAACTCTTTCGGGAGTGGCCTTAGGGTACGACAATTGGGTGGTGATGTCGCTGTATATGGCCATTAGATTGGACTGTGCGCTGGCGGGCAGATTCTTGGCCAGGTACTCCGGGAAACTCTTGGTCCAGACAGCCACGGATATGGTTGCCCCTACGGCTTGAAAGGTTGTGCCGATCATGTTGTAGAGAGCAAGCACAGTGGCGATGTGTTCTGCGTCGATGGCTGCCATGACGGCAATGACAGCAGACATGTAGATGATTCCATCACCAAGAGACAGGAAGACCTGGACGGCGATGATAGAGCCAGTCTTGGAATTAGGTTTGGACAGGTAGATCATCAATCCCGTGGTCAGGAGCTGAAGCGGCAGACCCAGGAACAGGGCGAGCCACTTGTAGCGGCCGGTAACCTTGATAAGAGCGCCAGCGGCGATGCCAGCCACACACCACCCAATATTGTGGATGTTGTAGATATATCCGGCATTCGTGACCGTCTCGCCTTGTACAACTTGCAAAGACGACGTAAAGTAGCTCGTCCAGCAGTAGTAGACCAAGTACGTTTGCGCATATGAGACGCTGCCCCCGATCACGGTCCGGCTCTTGAGTAGCGGGTAAGGAATGAAGGACTTCGGTGCCAAATACTTCTCCCAGAGACCGAACAAAATAATAGCAAACCCCCCAAATACAATCATGCAAATGATCATGGGGGACTGCCACCCTTTGCTCTGCCTCGTGTAAAGGCTGAACGGCAGCAGGAACAGGGAGAACCCGGCAGCAAGGAGGAGAATGCCGATACCTGTAATGGGCTGTTAGTGGAACCATCTTTCCTCAGTCACTGTATGTGTATAGAGAGCTCATCACTCACAATCAAACTCAACCCAATAAAACTTCAGAGATTGCCATGGTGTGCGGGTAATAGCTGGTGCTGAAGCAGCGCTCCAACGCTCCGCCCGTCGGTCGCTCCAGATGAGAAGCCCCAGTAAAGGTAGTCCGGATATTGGGACCACAATGGAAAATGTGCCAAAAGCCCATCTCCAGCCCGCGCCGTGCAGGAAGTGAGTTGCGACAGGAGCTCCGATCCAGGTCGTTATAAGCCATGGAGAGTTATATAGACCGAACATAATACCGCGCGTTTTGAGCGAGAAATGGTCGGCGATAACGACGAACAAAACGTAGGACATGCAGTCGTATCCGGCGAAGAAGAACACCGAAGCGGCGCAGTAGGTCACCACATTGTCGCATGCAGCCATCATGATTATGCCAAGGGTGAGGACGAGGAGTGCCAGTCCATAGCCAAGTGCCCGACCCCAGACGTCCAACATTTTCGCCACAGGGAGCCGAAGAACCGCACCCACAACGCTTGAGACAATGCTCGCCGTGGGGATGAGGGAGTGCGCCCGGAACTCGCTGTATACGTAAGGCAGCAGCGGACTCATGACCTGCATTTGGAAGCCAGTCGTGAATGTGATGACCCAAATCCTGAAGAATCCGTTAGTTTGTCCCCACACAGGATATGGGATGTCGGTGCTTTTCGAGATACGTACGCTGTGATGAGCACAGTCAAATCTCTTGTTGACCAAGGTTCCGCAGTTTGTGCATTATCCGACTTGCTGCCAGCCTCTTTAGTGAGTTCATATTGCTCAGGACTCAATGACCGGGCCTTTTCGGCCAACTGTGGTACAGTAGTGTCGGAGAGCTCAAGGTCAACGGCCTCAATGGTAGCCATTCTGTCTGGAGAATGTGGTCTAAATTGATTTGTTGAGTTCCAATACCCCTGAAAAGGGGATTTAGAAGCATTTTATAGACTGTAGTGGTAGAGATCTAGAATCCGATAAGCGAACACACTTTCCTCCCGTCCATTCTCTCGGAAAAAAAGTTCATCAATAGCTCTCCACTGGCCGAGTGAATTTGGCGTAAACTCGAAGGAGCCGGCTATCGGAGTGGAGCATGCATGGACGTTCTGCACAAGGCTGGGCCCCATGGCGAGGCGAATCCTGGTGGTTATGGATACTCACCCTGGCGGAATGCCTCATAATAACGATGCGTGTGTGCTGACTCGATACGCCGTAGGGACCCCGAAGAGCTGCTCATTGATTCGTAATGCCGTCGTGTCCCTGTTTGCAAACATTCAGCGCGTATATAATACTGTCTGATATGCGATACTCCAGTGACCGAGATGGGGTGTGGAAAACTCAACCCACTTTGTGTCCCAGGATTGAAAGTCGGATAACCTTACGTAACGCTAGCGAGCCAGACAACTAGCGTTCCCAAGACAAAGGGCTAACCTTAAGGTCCTCGAACCACAGTAACTCATAGTATTCATTGCTCCGGACCAAGACTCTTGGAAGGCTGTCCCTGGAAATGCTAGGCTCCATGGGCGCAGACGGACAGCGACGTCGGACAGATATGTGATATGGACACATATCTATTTAAAAACGCCGGGGACGCCCTGCCCCAAATTTGTGCTGACATGCAGTGCGCTATATCAGCTGGCCTCAGCAGAACGGAGAAGATCAGTCCTTCAAGCAGATCGCAGAGTTGATTGTGGCATACGTGTGCTATGACAAAACCACTCGCCCTCATCGTCGGTGCAGGTATCGCGGGTCTGTCGGCAGCATGGTGGTTGGACAAGGCTGGCTGGCGTTCCATCGTGGTTGAAAAAGCGCCAGCCCTGCGTGCCGGTGGATATGTCATCACAATATCTGGCCTTGGATATGAATCCATCAAACACATGGGTCTGCTCGACGGTCTCCGCACGGTCTCCCAGGACTTCGGGCACAACGTCGTCTATGACAACTATGGCAGAGAGTTGTGCCGTATCCGATATAGCGACGTACATGGCGGATTTGAGTCGCTAGCTGTCCGCCGTGACGACCTAGCCCGCTTACTTGCGGACGCTTTGCCCGAGTCCAGTTCAATTCGATATGAACAGACCATCAGCCAAGTCTCAGACGAAGGCGACAAGGTTCGAGCGGTTCTCAAAGGAGGAGATATCATTGAGGCAGACCTTTTGATTGGCGCAGACGGGCTTCGCTCAACAATCCGTGAGCAATTCTGGAAGGATGTTGATGCTTTGGAACCACTGGGATACTATTATGCTGCGTACAACTTCGGGCAGGACCCCGAAGCACATAATGACTGTCACTCATTCAATGTACCCGGCCAACTTGACATACTGTTTGCTTTGCGAGACAAAGGCATGACGGCAATGCATATTTGGCGCGAAGAACGGAACCTGTCAGCCAGCCGCCAGGACAAATTCGCGATACTCCACAAGATCACCCGCAACAGTGTTGACGAAGTACGCAACGCTGTTGACCGCGCAGAGAAAGCAGGTGCCAGTCCGGTCATGGACAGCCTCACTCTAGTGACTTTGCCGCGCTGGTCAACCGGTCGAGTGGTTCTCCTTGGTGATGCAGCTCACTGTCTGACGCTTCTGTCAGGCCAAGGCGCCTGTATGGCGCTTGTTTCAGCCGAAATCCTGGGAAAGGAGCTTAAGAAAACCACAGATGTCTCGAAAGCACTTGCCAATCACGAAACGAAGCTTCGTCCGAGCATCGAACGCCTTCAAGCACGTACGCGGAGTATGGCAGGATGGTATATCCCCAAGGGTGTCATCTCGTACTATTTCCGGAACTTCCTTATGAAGCTGATGCCATATTCATGGATTGTTTCTTACCACGTCAAGACCCTCAAGTCAGAGATTGACCTGACGGAAGATAGCCCCCGGCGTTGAAAGGGAAGTGTACAACCGGGAGAATTCGAGCAAAAAGCGAGGTTCAAATGGAGCGAAGGACGCTGCCCAAGCGAGCCTCCATCTTTTGCAGCTTCGAGATTATATAACGGGTCTTTCCACCTCTGCGCTTTCGGAGGCATAATGGAGCTGAATCTTATCAGTGGCCGTGGATGATGCAAGTGTGAGGGAGAGAATATGGAATTTTTAGTAGTCGGCGTTCTGACTAATCAATTTTCGGCGGATCTGGCCATGGTTGGAACACCAGAGTAGCTAAGTAGGCTGAATAAAGCGAGCCGTCCAAACGGGAATCACCTCACTATTATTGGCCTTCAAGTTCATCGCGATCGTGTGGACAACTTCAGTGAGGCCTCCGGCGCATCCTGTATGGCTCATAGCTTCAGCAGACGCCATTTTGATCCATTGCAAGAAGCATCTGATCCAACTCTGTACTGAACACAAGCTATCCTCCCCATAAGAAGCCCTTCCAGAAACTCTACACTCACCGCGGGGACCCTACGGCGGGCATTTTGTGGTGGCTAGAGCTTTTCAAGCACCATTGTGGCTCCAAGCGCTGCCCACGATGAAAGGACCGCACATCTCGTCATGCCGGAAATTCCTAAAATTGGCTGCTGGATATTCAGGTCTGACGTTCTACTCGACATCCTTACAGCCAAGATTCAGGGTCAAGGACCTGGTTAGAAGCTTACCTTGTAAGGAGGCGGCTACTACCAGTACTACTTGACTCGCCGTCGGTTGTGCGACAGTCACTCTGGCAAACATGGATATGGAACGATTGTGGAGATGTGGCACAGAAACGAAGTATGCTTGACAAGTCTCTCATTCACCCTGTCTCATCCATCGTCTCTCATTCTTCAGACCTCATCATTTCTTCAGATACATCTCAGAATTCAGTTACTGAAATCCCCTTAGCGTCTTGAATGGCCGACCCTCTCCTCACAACGTATATCGAGAACCAGGATCTGAACCGGGATCGAGAGAGGCGCATTGATGCACCCCTCCATGCTTGCCGACGCTGCTTTCGGGATATATTGGGCTCATTTAATGCTATTCTTGATGTTAGCCAGCCTGATATTTCTTGCATGTGAAACAGACATATCATGATGGACATACAGTGCAGCAAGTGCAGCCGTTGCAACCGCTGGCTCCGTGGCCGCAAGTAGTGCAGTGAGGCTCCATGTCGATTGAAGGGTTTGTATGGGGTTTCTTGTTTGGAACAGGGAGGCTTTTTGGAATGCTGTGGATAGATTGGCTGAGATGAATTTGAGGCAGGATGAGAAGAAGAGGTCCAAGCTGGCTGACACTTGATCCCTTTATATAGCTGTCTAAACCCTCCAGAACAGATGGGGGGATGTGTGATGGAGTAACCATCCCACACCATGTCACACAACATCGCTTCCTATTAGGTAAAATGTTAACGTCTACGATAAGGACTAATGCAGCAGCGAGCAGCGCTCTTCGTTTCCATGATTGTTGGCGAACCGTGTGTGGCAGTCCTTTCATGGGGTCGAAAGTCTATGTTCCTGTCACGCGGAGACCAGGCAGAGTGGCAGAACAAAGCAAAACTCCGGCTGTGAACGGGGTCCCACCAGCTTCGGGAGCGGACGGTCCAAGGAACGGGTCGCAGTGAGCCCGCCACTGGGCCATGAACATGTGGACATGCGCTGGCCTTTCGAATACATGACGATCCACCTTGGATCATGACCAGTCTGCAACCACGCCACGTCTGCCCCTCTCTTAAAGGTCTTCTTGTCCAATGGCGCGAGGCACTATCTCGCGGTGGATCGAGTCAACAGCTCGGCCAAAGCGCATACTTCTCGAAATTCACAAAATTGCGAATTCGCGTCTCTGGATACGCAGGGCATAAAGGCGGAAGTTTTCGTGCTATAGTGGTATATATCAACTGCTCAATATAAATTCTGTGTTCCATTAATCTACAGACCATCCTTGGACAGCAGTAACCATGGCGGCTTCGTCCGGACTCCGTGACTGTGACATTCACATTCCTTCGGCGACCCCGCCAAAAGCAAATTCGCATGCAGATCGTCAGCTGGACAGGCCACCCTTTTCCCGAACTCGAAGCCTTTCACTCGAGGCGCAACGCAGGCGGGTGGAGAAAGAACTGTGAGAGTGTTGTGCCAGTGGTACCACGAATGCTGCGGATGTCCTTATCGTCAACGTAAACGCTGGGTCGACGACGTGTGTAGAGCAAGGCAGCTATTGGCCACACCTCTGATGCCTGCTGTGGAGACGGCCTGTACCTCCTCAATGCTGCTGTCTTCTTCTCAGCACCCTTGATTTTTGATGTTGCACAAGTGACAAAAGGAGACATTGGGCAAAATCCTTTTGCTTTAGCACGTTTTCCCCCCATGTAGCACCATTCGGGCTTTTGAGCAGATTTGAAAATCTCGAGAAGACGAGATAAGGCCTCTGAGCTGAACGTAGATGTGCCCAGAGTTCGCATTGCGGACTCGTAGCAACAGTGGAGCTCAGACGCAGCTTCCAAGTGGTCAGATATTCGGAGTTCTGCAGTGTGAGCGGCTATCTTGTCGGTCACTGAGATGTCAGCCCCAACTCAAAAGTGGGAATGGCAGCACGATGAGTGGTTCTTTGGCTGTATGTTGTCCATGGCTTCTCACCACACCGACTGTGGTCAAACGAGCGTCAGGGAAGTCCTCGACTATGATTGCTCGCGGTCAATGGTCGGGCCGTCGGGCATGTTCTGCACTTGTGAGCCCAGGTGTGCCTGTGCTTAGTCGGTGCAAGGCACTCACTGGCTCCCTGTGCATCTGCTGTGCCACGAATCGAGGCGTGGTATTGACGAATTCCCGTCGTGTAGCAGGGGGGCATGATAGAACTTATCACACTCGAGAGGTGCGTAGGCTCCCCGCTGGCGTCGATATCATGATGGGCTCTGAGTTGGGCAGCAACACCTTGGTGAGTAGATTGATTGCGTGTGAGTGAGGCCTCGTTGGTCGCCGGACACGACGGCTGTCAGAATTCTGATGACTGATGTGGATAGACCATATCTTTCGAGCAGTTGGCCGCGTTGATCTGTTGGCGGAAGCCCTTGCAATTCCGGTGTATACCCCTAGCATCCTCTTCACTCAGCACTGTTGCCTCTTCCAGCACTGCATGGTTCAATCGTTGTCACCATCCTAACGCGGGCTGCGGTCTTGAGAGGGAGGGCGATCAGGATGCCGGGATATGGCAGGCCGTGGAGAGCGGGACATAGAGTGCAATTAGAGCAAGGATGGACACCGTGCGGCGAGCACTTGGCCAGTCTTGAGGGGCAGGACGCCGAAAAAGTGGTTGCGGCACGTCGTCTTCGTTCTGATATTTTCTAGACCTCTGTATTTCACTGCCTTCGGTATGATAAACCATTGTCGTCCAACGGAAGAGCACCACCACCTGACTCCAGAGGAAAAGGAAAAAGTGGCCGAGTATCGACAAATACTCAGCACGGCCTGGATTGGAAAACATGAGAATTCAACGGTGTCATTTATTCTTCAGGACTTACCAATGGCGATTCAGTGACGAAGGGGGCAGATCTCTATAACGAACAACACGACCAAACGTACCCAATGGCCCTCCTCAAGGTCATGGTCGTTGTCAATTGTACCTTTGTCCTCGAGACAGAAAGGTCGCTTGGATGACCACCAGATACAATTGATGGTCTTGCCAATTCGACATTGCGAGCGGTGTTGCTCCTCCGTCAGCCGTGACAACGTTATAGCATTCGCTACAATCCATCCTGAATCCGGCAGTCTGCTTGTCGCTGTTGTCGCTGTGAATAGATCTAACACTTGTCTCTCATGCGTAATTTGTTGGAACAGCACGTCTGTCAGCCATACAGGCATTGTCCATTGGCGTGCCCGCACCTCGACTTTTGTGATCTTCAAAGTATGCTGCCATTGGGGCGGGCCGACAATGCTGTGGATGGGTAGAAGAGCGCAAGCCGGACAGCGTACGAGGGACAACGCTGATATATGATAGATCGACCGTCCTCCAATGCTCCGGTCAACACCCTGGGCACTTTGGGTACGATGACCTTCTGGTGGCCATTTTAAGCCTAGTGGACCTAAGGTCCTCAATCTCTCAGAGCAGTGACGACTCAGAGATGAACATGCCGTTGAAGCGGACCCACATAGGACGCCATTAAACCAAATCAGGGCAAGGCGGTACTACTACCTACCTACACGTGCTAACCCTTCCCAGAGGACAATGCTGTACCTTTGTTTCCGCACGAGGATCAACTCCAGTCCAGAGTCAGATTTGTGGTGTCAAATGGCAGTAAAATCATCGACTGGTAGGCAATGATGTACGGTGTACCGATGAATGAAGCCTGTATCTAGCATATCGCAGACCAATAACCTAGCTAAACCTAACCGTCGAATGGCCTCGTGCTGACCTGAAGAGCCTCTGGCCGAAACTTGAATTGTTCGTTATAGTTCTCCTCTGACTGTTGTAGAAAGTTGCCGCCAGCGGGAAACTACTGAGTATCGGAGCTGCTCCATGTCTGCCCAGTCCCAGCTCATTGAATCAAAATGCAACAGGCAAAGGAGCACTGTTAAACTGAAAAGGCTGCACGCTGAGATCACGTACAAGCACTTAAGCCGCAGGATCTGCCTCCGTCGTCGGTCATCCCTATCCGTTTCAAGAGAGATATCCTGCTGGGTACAAAAGTATACAAGCATCAAAGTAATGGATAGAACAATCCAAACCAACAGACTTCGACTGAGTTTGAGAACATCTGGCTCGGTCGCTGCTGTGAAGTGGAAAACTTGCATACAAGCAAACGAGAGCAAGATCGACAGACTGCAAAGGCGAACCAAGACGGCGAACGGCGAATAGTGGAGTAGCCATCGGGCCATTAATGAAGACGCGAACATGTGAGCAAGGTAAGCAGCAGCGCCTGCCTATAACATCCATGTCAGAAGTCTTGGATTTGAAGAGCTTGGAAGTCTCGGAGAAAGAAAGAATAAGTGTTCAACATACCCACAAGAAGCTTAGAGCAATTTGGGCAATAACTATCCGTTTAAAAGACGGACTTTGGAGCAGCCCATTGTCACCAACTTCCAATCGTTGCTCCGTTGAAGAGGCTCGTTTGTAGACAAGCTGGTATATGCTATAACAGGTCTGGCAGGCCCACCATATCGCCGAAATCAGGGACAAGGCCCGACAAAGGAGAAGCGGCAGATGCCACCGAGGCCGCACACCCAGCACGACTGCTACCCGCGGGTATCGGGCGCTGCGAGCCACACCAGCCTTCGCAGCATTCTCCGAAGGTCGCCGAGGCTGTGCTGGGGGCAGCGTGGCTGGTCTGTTTGACTCGGGGCTGTAAGTGGGAGCAGGTTCACCGTTCGCCGCCAGTGGGATGGTGGCTGCAGCTGAAGCGGCTGCACCGTCTTCTCTGGGGACTGATACTATCAATTCAACATGCACATAATCAGCTCTTGCTATCCTTGGTGAAGAGAAGCGTGAGATATCCGCACTGAGCAAGCTCACCAGAAATGATGGCGCTTGTAAACTCAGCTGAGGTACGCGTGCAGCTGGCTGGGAGAAGTTGGAACAACCTTTACCCCAGGTCTTGGCACCGTCCAGCGCGCGGCGTCTCGTAGGCCTTGTGCTTGCCTGAATGCAAGAGCTTGTGTCGCTGCTTTTGAAACACTACCACTTTGCCAAAATCCTACTTGCTCAAAGTTTGCATTGATGGTATGGCAAATTAACCAAGACCAGTCCAAGTGGCCACTCTCTCCTATGACGCCTTCTGAAAGCGCCGGTCACCATGAATGTAAGAGAGAAACAACATCAGCCTGGCCTCAATGCGGAGAGTATCGATCAGCGAATACCACAACTGCTCTAGTAGCGTATCGGCCAAGTACTAGTACCGCAAAATAGATTAGCGTGAGGTGATGAGATCCAGTATCAACACGTCGAACAATAACGAAGACCCCTTATCCATGCTCAACACGGACATATCAGTATTGCTGCCAACTGCCTCCAACATTCTGGACAATAATGGTTACTCGCGTAGGCGCCAGACCGGCGATCGCGGCCTCCTCGAGCCCTCCACATGTTTGGGAGAGATCTCAGGTCGATTATGATGCAGGTGTCTTCAACACGCGCAAGCGACCACAGCCAGACGACTGTCCTGTCGATTACAGCACGGCCCACCGCTCCTCGAAGAGAATCAAGCGCAGACCTATTGTCAGTGTAGGCACAAATCCCACCGAGCCTCACCAGGATCATCTTGCAGCGATTCGTTTGACCAAGTGCGCCTTGGAAGAGCTGGATCGACGGAACACTGAAGCCAATAAAGCGTCCTCAACCCCTCAAGAAGTACCCGGCCGCATTACCAGCCACGGAGCATCTAGGCTCACGTCGAGTCACGATGCGGATCTTCCTGCGGCAGACTTTGTCGCGAACAGTAGAAGGAGCATATTGGAAGAACTGAGGCAGTTCGCAAGACTCGGTGGTCCAGACCTGTCAGATATACGAGGGGTGCGTACTGTTCAAACCTTCCTAGCAAGGAATACTAACGAGCTAATAGAGTCATATACCAATCCCTCGTTTACGTCCAGAGTTATCCATGTCTCAACCCAAACCTATACCTGCTGGCCGAGAACGTCCGTCTGACCCCTTGCCGGGAAACGAAGTGGATGACGAAGGGGAAGAAGAAGTGGACGTTGAAGAGCTGGATGACGAAGATCTGGATAGCGAAGAATTGGATGAACTGGAAATGATGCAACGAACAACGATCACAGTGTTAATGGCAGCGCTTGTAATACTGTACGACTTGTGATGCTGGCCAAACACCGTCTGAGCTAGCTATCCTGGGGAAGACCGCTGAGGGCCTGACCGGCCCGCGCCCTTTCCTTTCTCCTACCAGGATTGGGAAAGACGACTTTATAAGCTTCGAGTGCGTGAATCGACCTGCTTTAAAAGTGATGCAAGCTCGGACACTGGCACTTCAAGTGGGGAAGGGAATGGGGCAGAAGACAACTGTTCATCACGGAGCATGACCTTTTCGAACCTCGCGCCCAGCAACCCAGACATATACTACGGGGCCGGGCCAAGCAGCGCAAACGCTCTGTCCGTGGAGATTCTGGGTCTCGCATCATTTCCCACCACGCAGCACCACTTTCCTATCCTACCACATTTCTTCCTGACAGTCAAAGGTCCAGACGGGATACAGTCTATGGCAGAACGACACGCCTGCTACGACAGTGCCTTGAGCGCCAGAGTGATGTTTAAGCTACGGCCCATACGGGCTGACCACATCCGCATTGGATGTGAAGGCCTACACTATCACTTCGCCGTATCACGGAGGGGTGCTGAGAGTATACACCAGTTACCCTGCTCTTCCGGCTCCCTATCATGGCAATGGTGGGCCCGGGTACTGCTGCAGCAGGTTCGCAGTATCGCCCTAATCAACCACATTGACTCATTCCGAGAGGAAGGCACGGCAGAGATTGGGACAAGGACCAGAGGCACGACGCGATCAAGCACGCCAATGTCAGGGCAGACAAAGCTCAGACGAGAACGCACTGGAGAATGGTGAGCACGCGAATCCGCCATCTGGTGGCCCATGATGGCAGATTTTCGGCGGGGCGGCCTCGATTCCGAGGACTTTTTCCCAGCATTGGATAAGGTATGCTAGTCTGCTTGATCCACTGTGAGGCACTGTAGACTTTTAAGTCACGAAGACGATGGACTACATTGTTAGCAGCTACTTTTGAACAGGGATAGAGGCGTCTGTGAAAGATTCGAGAGCTCTAGACGTTTCGGTGCTTTCCAACAAGTAGATGCTGTTTAACTGGCGTTTAAAGACAGCTTGGAGGCGTGTCAATAGGCGTCCAGCGACCGATTAGGTGGCTTGGCCCAGCTATGTCCCCGGCTGGAATTGTGATCAAGGGACAATCATGACCGCGATTAGTGTTTGATATCATTGTGCCACAACCTGAACTACTAGTACTCATATACCAAACTCACTCCTCCTTAGTGGCCTGGCCAGGAACAACGCCCCCCCATCATTATCCTAGTACCTACCTCACCTAGGTAAGAGGTCGTAGCTGTTGCTGTAAACCAAGGTCGCTGAACTCGGGACTGTCAAGTACAGTAGTAATGCATTTGAAGCGTGCAGGGATGGTGAGCCCCAGCCAGAGCCACTAATCAGCTAGTATCTCTCACGGAGGACTCAACAAGAGGGATCAGACGCGAACGTAACCCTTCAGCCTGGAATGCACAATCCAGACTTCAACACCCACAAATCCAGTCAAGGACAGTCGTTCCTCTCATTGATTCACCGTCCCAAGTGCAGTGAGCATTCGTACAATGTCTCAAGAATACAACATCCGTCCAGACCTCGGCGGCGCTGTCCGCAGGTTCCTGTACGCGCAGATCTTCCGGACGCCGCCCTATCCTACACAATCTTTCGCAGGACAGACGGTCATTGTAACAGGCTCCAATTGCGGCCTTGGCCTCGAGGCATCCCGGCACTTCTATCGGCTCGGGTGTGCGAAGCTCATTCTGGCAGTGCGCACTGTGTCCAAAGGCGAGGCTGCCAAAGAGGACATTGTCCGCAGCGTCAGGAACCGTAGCGATGGCGCCGACGCGATCGAAGTCTGGCCTCTGGACCTGGCCAGCACGGGCTCAACACTCAGCTTCGCGGAGCGGGTGAGGACATCGTTGCCTCGGGTCGATGCGGTCATCGAAAACGCCGGCATCAACAACTTCTCCTGGAAAATCGTCGAGGGCGGCTGGGAGGAGACAATCCAGGTCAACGTGCTCAACACGCTGTTACTGGGCTTGCTCGTCCTGCCCAAGCTGTCTGAGACGAAAACAAAAGAGCCCGGATCAACTCCACATCTGGAAATAGTGTCTTCGCTTGTCCACCGGTTCACTCGCTTCAAGGAAGCCAATGCGCCGGATATTTATGCTGAATTGAATGACAAGCAGAAGTTTGCCGTTGCGGATAGGTACGTGGAAACTTTGAATTAGGATATACCCACCCATGCGACGTTTCTTTCTGTTTTGTATCTGTTCGCGTCGAACTATCTACCTGGTATTCGTCTTCCTCTCCCTCTCGCTTCCGTCAGTTTCCACCGAAAGAGAAAGTCGCGGCATCACATTCCCCCCTTTTCCTTCGCAGTTGCAATCCCGCGCAAATTTGCCTTTCCACTGCACTTCACCGATGCATAAATCACAAATGCATCTACTTTCGTTTTACTCTCACACCAAACAAGCGGAGTCATTGGGTTGAACTCAGACTTACGATTGGCGGGAGTTGGCGGTTTTGCATTCTAGATACAATGTCAGCAAACTTCTAGAAATCCTCTTCGTGCGCGAACTCGTGTCCCGACTCGAGGCACAGGCACAGGCACAGTCTTTGTCATCCTCGCCCGCATCCCGTATATCTGGCGTCGTCATCACCCTGGTCAACCCGGGCATGTGCGTCTCCAATCTCGACCGCGGCATGCCTCTTCCTATGCAGACGGCGCTTTCTGTCTTCCGCTTCTTGCTCGGCAGGTCGACCGAAGTAGGTTCCAGGACCCTCGTGCATGGCGCGTGTGCTGGCCCGACATGCCACGGCGAATACTTGTCGGAATGTCAAAACGAACAGGTCGAGAACTGGATTTATTCTGATGTGGGTAAGGGAGTGCAGAAGAAAGTGTTCGAGCAGACCATGAGGGTGCTGGAGCAGCGGAAGCCCGGTCTGGCCGGGGAGCTTGGATTATAGCTCTCACTCAATCTCGACGGGACTTTCCGTCCAGGTTAAATCTGGTGGATGGCGATGGTATGACTAACGAATGGACGTACTCTCTTTGGACTTGACTTGACTCGCTGTTCACATCTGTCAAGAGAGCAGATGAAGTCTGCTTTTTTTTCACTCTCGGTTCGCTATGTCGCTCTATTTTTCGGGTATTGCCCAGCAGGCATCAGCTCGGTATATCCTGTCTCTAGTCTTAAAAGTGCCGGTTAGAAGCCCCCTGGCAAGTGTATAGCCTCCAGACTTTAGGTCTGTATATCGTTCTACCGGCCCCGGCATCTGTCCAATGATATTCAAACCTTCGATCCGCCTCATATGTGCTGGAAAATATGAGCCTCTTTAAACGGCTGATTTTTATCCATATCGATTGGTTGAGCCATGACTTCGCCTCCTCATGCCGAGATCTGGGCGTTGTGCTTCACTGTGGCTCTTGCGACTAGATCCTGGGGAATGGCCGCGAGCATGCTCACTACCACTGGCGGGCATAACATCATTTCCGTCTTTGCGGTTTGATAGCCCGCTCCTCAACTCATAGCTTTCGCCTCTCTCGAGGGAATCATCAACCACTGCTATCTCATCATTTTCGTCTGGCGGACTGGAATCTGGCGTCGATGGTCCGCTGGATCCGTAATAAGCGCCTCCCACACTCTCCATGACGAAGGCGCCAGCGGTAGGTGCATCCAGAATTCGCAACTCTTCCTCCCGGAACCACTTCGGCATGAGCCATGTTCGAAGTGGAATCAGCAGAAGGATGATGACGGGGAATCCAATGGCTGCAATGGTCTGTGAGATGGCAAAGGTTGCGCCAAATCCAATGAGCTCCAGCCCGACGAAGACCCAGATGGCCAGCCTACGTTCAATGCGTGACAGCGGATCGGTCGCGTCCGTGAGTTCTTTGTCGCGGGCAAGAAACAGGATCTTTTGGGTAATTCCGTTCCCCACCAGGGCTTGAACGCCCATGACGAAGAACAACCCTGCCAGCACGCCCTGTGGGATGAGGTGCAGCACAACGAGAAGCGGTCCAGTCATGGTAACGACAAACAGGAGCCCCTGAGCAAGGTTGCTAACTCGCTGCTCAACGACGTGGTCCGTCACGCGTACGATATGGCCCTTGGTCTTTTCATCCACGACTTGCCTCGTGACGCAGAGCGATTGGGTATGAAAAGGAGCCTGCGGAATCAGGCCATTGGGAAATGGTATGCCCAGCAGACCCGCGATACCGGTGGTCAAGCCGAGGAGGAAGATGTCCCAGTGGAAGCCTGGGGGTTTGCGGAGTGGAAACTCGGTACCTTGGGCAATAAGCGACGAAACTGGGATGAAAGGTTAGCATTCTCATCCATCCCATTCTGCAACACGAATGAGCAACGCACCGTTATGGTCGAACCAGAATAGAATAGTTAGGAGGACTGCAAAAGGGATCGCAAGGAAAACATCGCCCACGCTGATATCCCAAAAGTGTACGAACCACCCACGATCGGCTGTAGGAAAGAAGGCCTTGCTTGTCGGCAAGGTTTCCACATGTACATCTTTCATGTGTCCGAAATGGACGAACCCAGTGAAGAAAACAATGGTCAAGGGGGTGCCATAATCCTCGATAAACTTCCTCACATGGCGTTGTAGCAAGTGGCTGTTGCCCAGAATACCACAGCCGTAAGCGAAGCCCAATACCAACAAGCTGACCATAATGGAAAGATATGCACTTTCAGCGCCGGCCAGTTCCCACTGCCTTGTAAGGACCTGGATGCCTTTTTGTAGGTAGATAAACGCGACGTAGAATCCGAATGTATCACAACTGAACCGGGTAACATAGGTCAAGGCGTTGCAACTGTTGGTGATGGCCAGTAGCCAATGCATAGCAAGGGACCAGAGGCCAACCCATGCCATGAAGGAGAAGAAGTTGGTGCCTCGGGGAACGACGATGTCGTAGACGGTGTATGAGAATACCGTGATAGGACCAGTGACGCCCACGATTACCAGTGGCTGAGCGGCAAAAATGGCAAACACCACGCAGCCCAGGACCGATGACAGCAAGACTTCATTGACGCCGTACGAGTTGTGGGTCTTTGTGAACATGTCGAGAGAGAAGGCCAGGGCTGGCAGGATACTGTACATGCGGTCAGTCACTAGCCACCTAGAACAACCCAAGGGATCAGGCTGAGGGGACTCAATGGATCAAAGGCCAGGTGCATTTCCCACAATGTGGGCTGAATGATATTGATATAGATAGTCATACTTCGCAAAATACATATACACCGTGGCAGGGACGACTCTATAGTCCCATGCATCTTTCCAGTCACTCCAGTAGTAGGGGGCCCTTCTCTTAACATCGTCTATCATCCCTCGAAACCAGCGGACCTTGTACCATTTCGATGTATGACGGTGCGAGGCTTGGGTCGTCTGGCGCGAAATGCGCTGCGAAAGACGCTGAATTTCTTCTGGGTCTGGGCGCGAGTGACTGGAGTGGAAGGACGGTCGGCCTGGATGATGTTGCCATGGCTTCTTTTGCGTCGAGTGGGATGAGGAGCGTCGGCGCACGCCGCGGGAGGAGGATGGATGGATGAGTTCGGTCTGAGTACTCATGGTGAGACCACAGGTTACACTTCTGTAAAAATAATAAGATGTATCCAGTGACTGCGGTTCAACGGGCCGGGACCGGCCATTCCGGGGGAACGGGAGAGTCGAGAAGCCTCTGCTCAAGACACAACGATTGAGAAATCTTGCAGGCTCAACTTGAAGAACGACCAATCGACCTTGAAACAATGTCGTAGATGCGGTGAGTGATCCTCGCGGTGGAGGCGCAATGTATCAATCATGACAAGGGCGACTGTTCCAGATCCGCGAGAGAAACGACGGGATGCTTAGTAACGAATCCTCGCCTCGGCTGCAGACAATTGACCCCCGCATTTGCTTACCCAACACCGCGCATCTGTCTCCACGAGGCACGGCACGATGGCAACACCGAACTTGGTATGAGAGCAAATCTCTTGAAACTGACAGTGGTAAGGATAGCGCAGAGCACAACGAGCGTCCTTTGCTTACACATGATTCATCCTTAAGCGACACCAGGAAAACTTGGAGTCGTCGACGCTAGAGGAAGCGGCCTTACATTATTCATCTTTAGGCTCATGATATCACGGACAAGGGCTGATTTCAGCGCAAGCGAAGAGTAGCTGACATTATCGGTATGTCTTTGAATCTTTCTGTTGTCTCTGGGTGCTCGATACAAAACTCATCTTCAACGGCAGATGCTGCAACGTCTCCTTCAACACGCCAGGCACGTATCCAGCTCCAGCACCCACTCCGCTAGCATGTCGACCGCGAAACGGCCAGACATCACCCTGTACACAGACGCAACGCCTAACGGAATCAAGATCTCGATTGCACTCGAAGAGCTTGGACTGCCTTACAAGGTCGAGCACATTGATATTTCGACAAACCGGCAGAAGGAGCCATGGTTCTTAGAAATCAATCCCAATGGGCGTATTCCCGCCATCACCGACACATTCACTGACGGCCAAAAAATTCGACTGTTCGAGTCTGGCAGCATCCTCCAGTATCTTGTCGAACAATACGACACAGAGCATAAGATTAGCTACCCGGCTGGTTCGCGCGAGAATTACGAGACCAATAACTGGCTGTTCTTCCAGAATGCTGGGCTCGGACCGATGCAGGGCCAAGCGAATCACTTTTTCCGGTATGCTCCGGAAAAGATCGAATACGGCATCAACCGATACATCAACGAGACCAGAAGGCTTTATGGGGTGTTGGATAAGCACCTCCAGGGTTCAAAGTCGGGATTCATCGTGGGTGACCACATCTCCATAGCGGACATCACGACCGTCGGATGGGTCATCTGGGCTGGCTGGGCCGGTGTGGACATTGATGAATTCCCAGCCTTGAAAAAGTGGGAGGAGATGATGTATGCTCGACCTGGTGTTAAGAAGGGTTGTGACGTTCCTAAGCCTCTCAAAATCAAAGAGTTGCTACAGGACAAGGATCGCTTGGATGATTATGCCAAACGTGCCAGCAAATGGATCGTGCAGGGCATGGAAGAAGACAAGAGGAAGTGAAGAGGTTCAACCTTGTGGCCGTAATAGGTGTGGCGAGCACATTGGATCCAACCGAAGTAGATGGTACCTTCACTTACACGGATGATGTCGCTCTGGGCTAAGTGTCCCTGGGCGATGACTTCTGATAGTGGTCGATAGTCATGGATATAAGCCTGTTGAATTTAAGCCGGCAAGAACGTACAGTCTCCGCCGTTAGCCTTAAGCCTTATCGTGTCGCAATTAGATATAAGAAGGTCCTGCAAAATCTTGATTTTATGCTCTTTTGACATGCATGACAGGGAGACAAGAACCGCGGAATGACTCGCAAGTCTTAACGTTCTTGATGGAAAGCATGTTGCCGCTCGGTGAATGCGCATCCGAAAACTTTCTGGAACAGGGACCTGTACCAGCTGGAGTGATGTAGCACAGGATACTATGTACTGGTAGATAGCTCTCCCATCCATGGGGGCAGATCTCCCGGTTGCGAACGAAACGAATATGATTGATCAGGCCTGAACCGCAAGATCAAGCTTCAATGTCTGGCACCCGCGTGAGAGCACGGCAAACTGTGAACAACTACTAGTGCTCCTGAAGACAGGCCTGGAAAATGAATGATTCTGTTGACTCCTCGCCGCAGAAAGTTCTTATTCATCCGGGCAATACCTCAAAAATGTCCCCCACACGCCAGATGGACCAACCATCGTGGGGAAAGTGACGTTGATGGCATTCCAGAGTTGGTTTTGAATAATGTTATTCGCAGAACTGTACGTGCTGGCGGATGGTGATGTGCGCAACTAAACTGCTGTCGCCCTTTGGTGGCTAACAAGACTCTAGCATCAACTGGAAGCTAAATTCTGTCGCGACTTGAAAGCTGGTGTAGGGGTGAATAGGCAAGGTGGTACTCATGAACCAGCCATGTCGGACAGTATTACTAGTAGGTACTTGCCTAGTAGTAGGCAGCAGAAGTAGCACAGCCGATGCAAGATCAGATCTATTCCTCCACTAGTACAGTACATCACCAAATTGTGCCGACTTGATGCACTGCATCCCAACGAACAGCCTGTTCAAGTTGAGGGGTTCAAGTTGCGCCAGTGAAACTCAAAGAGTCAACGTCATTGCTTGATTAGTCCGCCCACTCAAAAAGCTTTTTAGCGTTGGAGGACGGGTTTCCCTACTAGTCCAACTTGAACTGCCAGTAGAACAGCACTGCGCCACTGGCAGATGCCTGGCGAAGGAAATTGTTCCGAGATCGAAAGTGGCTGTTAACTGGTCCACAACCGCGCCGCTGGCACTGGATCAGTACGAAGTTGGGGGTGTCATTATTTCCCGACTTGCCAGACCTGCAAGATTTGGTCTGACGAGCATCCCCCGGGGACTTCTCCAACTTGAAGACCCGCACGTGCTGGCGCGACACCACGCGAACCTGATGGCTCTGTCAGACTTCTTTCTACTGCACAAATGACGCCCTTTCCCACCTGCCTACGACGCTATGCAGCTGACCGTCCAGGCCTGTGACGCAGTGCCAGCGTCGCCGGTGGCATCGGACAAGATATCCGCGTTCTTGACCTCATACTTTAGTTCATATATATCCAGCTCCGATCCGATCGGTGCGATCAACTTCCACCTGCGGGTATCCTTCGACGACGGCGTGTATCTGACTGCGGCTTCCATGTACAGTTTCTTCATGGGCGGACAAGGATGTTCTTGACTTGAAAAGTCGAACATGTCACGGACCCCTTTCCGGACGGTTGCCCCAGCCATATCACCCGAGCATGGGCACAGTTTCATATCTTCCTCCTCATCCGACCCAAGGCAAAGAAAGAAGGAAAGCGTCGCGTGCTTTGCTTGCAAGCGGCGACGGTCCAAGGTCCGTAAATCATGCTAGATACTCCTTCCAGGCTTGACTGACTCTAGTCAGTGTGATGCCGGCATTCCGTGCATCTCCTGTATTTCGCACAACACCGAATGTGTCAAGGACCAAAATGATGACGGCCGACGCAAACTTGCGGTTAAGCGCAAGATTGATGTTCTGGAGTGGGATCGCCACCTACTGGACGAGTTGCTGACCGCCATCCGCACTGCTACGCCAGACCAGCTGGATACGCTACTCAGTCTAATACGGGACAACGCGACGCGACAGGACTTGCACTCTCACATCCAAGCTCAACTTCATGATCACCATGATTCCTCTACACCTGATAGCGACTACCGGCATAAGGTCCGATCCACACGTCGCCGTATGATGGGTCGAATTCAAGATGTTGTCAACCCCCCAATATCTGTGCCCGCCAAACCATGGACAACTGTTACCGATGATGATGATTTTGTCTCGCACCTCATGTCATTATGGTGTACATGGGCTCATCCCTGGTGGCACTGGGTGGATGAGGAGGTTTTCCTGGAAGCCATGCGGTCCGTGACACTACAAGTCTTATTTGTACTCCATATCTCGTGAACATGATTCTGGCCGACGCGTGCGTAAGTGAAGATCCAGCTCTTGCAGTCTGCCCTTCCTAACGCGTAATTTAGCTACTTGACACTCTTGCAGAAGACGGCTCGGAGCCCAACGAATGGATCCGAAAACAATTCTACAACGAAGCCAAGAGAGGACTCGATGCTCAGAATGGTCACTCTTCAATGGCGTACGTGGCAACCCTGGGAGTCCAATGGACCTAGTAGGTATATCTCGCGCTTGGCTGCATACGCAAGATACTAACTGTTGCTCTTTTTCTACCAGCCTCAACACCAATGGTCAAGATCAGCTCGGTAACGCTGTCCTTCATGAACAGATTTACCGTGCAAAAGGCCTTGAAAAGTGGCGGCGGAACCTTCATCGGAATGGCGATATGTCCCCAGAGTATCTCAGCAAGATTGATCGGTCTCTTGACAGACTTTCGTGGAGCTTGTACACGCTTCACTCGTTGACTTTGATGAGCTTGGAAAGAACCGAGCTTACAAAGGTGCCGACTCGACCAAAGCCTCCCTCGGATCACCATAAGAAGAACCATGATGGATGGATGCCATATCCACAACCTCACAATCCCGTCACCTTTCACCATAACTGCCATTATCTTGCCTTTGTCTCACTAATCGAGGAAGCGGCGCGGGTGGAGGCACTGTTCGTGAAACAGGCTCGTGATGATTCATCCATGATCATGGCAGAACTCGAGAACGTCTGTCGGCAATTGGGCGATTGGCCACACACTCTTCCTGAATGCTTGAAGATGCATGAGAAATCAATGCCTCATGTGATTGCCTTGCAGTAAGTGCCTGATCTTCTTCATTTCTCGTCTGCAGAGAACCATCATATGCGGATCCTTTCATAGCCTCCAGTTTTGTAATGGTCAAGCAGGCGCTAACTCGTCATTCTTACAACGTCAGCGCGCTACATCGTTGGGTCGTTGTAATGATGGCCAAACAGATAGCCGCGCTCGAGGCTGGCAAACTGAAGGAGCCTTCTTTGGTGGAAACACCGCAGAAAGACAAAAGAAGTCCGTGGAAGGAGATATCCATTACAAGTTGCATCGAAATCGGGGAACTCCTCGAACAGATCCGACTGAACTGGGGCGCGGACCATTTCCCTGTCATCATCATGCAACCTATCGCCACCGCGGTGTTTCCACTTCTCGAAGGCCTTAACGACCGACCCGACTCGCAAGACGCACTTTTCAAGCTATGCATAACCGTCCGTGCGGCAAGCCGCAGGTTCCGTGTTGGGAAAGGAGTCCTTCTTCTCCTCCATCAGACTGCAAAGCAAAGGAATATTGTCCTACCGGAGAATTGTCAACAGTTGTTGGCTGATTTTTCTGCCCGAATGGACTTTCAGCGAACTGTGAATGGCATTTCCGATATCGGTATGGAATACTTGCTGGAAAAGTGGGAGGATCTGGATCTTCACGAGGTATAGAAAGGGAAGACTGCTCCGCGCAAAACTGCTGCAGGGACCGCCGACTTGTTTTCAAGACCCGAAGACACGGAATCTGGCATGACTAAAGGACAGACAATATTCGAAGAGAAGCCTTCTCGTCCCTGCCTGGCAGAATCCGTTTGGCAGAGGCCCTTCGCCGAATCTGCCAAAGTAACCAGCAATCGCGGCACCTGATCACATTGCTGATTTCACCATCAAGGGGACAACATCGAGAAGTATTTCGTCGCTCCGCGGCCACCGTCTGCTTACGACTACGACCCGATCCACAACATAATTGTACTTTTAATTGACCAATAGCATGCGCATTCTGTTCTCAATCGTCCATCCGCCCTTATTATTCTGGTACCAGCATGAGGATATGAAGTTGACACGGAGGTTGCTAGTTCTAAAAGCATCTGCCAGCACATGCCTGCGAGGGTAGGTTGTTTTGGCCGTACTGGACGTCATTATGGAGGTTTGCAAAGTGTGATTGTCCTTTCGGGGCACCGTCCTCCAATTTAATTGCTTACTGCATACCGAGTCCCGCAATGTGTACAACTTGTTGGAAGGAGTGTTGATATCTCTTGGTCTATTTTCATTCTCACTGCAGAATGGCATTGCGAGGAACGAATGACAAACCAGTCGTCTAGGACATTGGACCAGTGCATTCTGCACGACCTCTAGGCTTGATAACAGTTTCGAGCATCCCACTCTGGGTATAAATACACCTGTTCCTAGGTACCTAGGTACTAGTACCTAGTAGCCTTCGCACCTAAGAGCAGCAACTTGGAATATACGCGAGTCTTGACAGGTGCTGTTAGATTCTCGGGAGTGGGCGAAGGTTGTCTGCACCTCCTGAGACGTAAGCTTATCTTCTCAACCACCGTCTCAAAGGCAGGAATTGCTTTAGGCCGCAAGGTGTCACAAACCGGATGGCGCTTCTTTATTTAGAGCGGTGACTTCAAGCTTTAGTGTCTTATAAAAGATTATGTGGCTTTTTCTTAGTAATTCCAAGTCCATGTTATTAGTTGCATACAGTTATTCCCCTAACCCAGTTTTGAACATTGTACGGCCCGTCGAACTGCGAGACTCATAGTGTGTGCCTTCGTCCTACTAATATGGCATATTGACAACGGCTGTACAATACTCCGCTTCACTAAAAGACATAGGAAAGCACATGTTCTATATTCTTACAAAGAGGACTGATCGGTAAGGTCGACAACGAATAATAATAGTACAAGTTTCCAAAGTCAATCTTTTATACATGCTGAGAAGGACCGAGCGTCACGATCAAATTTCATTCCCTCTTTCTTTCCCTCGCTACTGGGCCAGATAACTGGGTAGGTTTGCCCTCCATGCCGCTGGGAATGGGCTCCTCTTTGGACTGCACCCTGACATTTCGTAGTTCCATCAAGTCCAGATACCGGGCATCTCCAAGGCATTGGCGTAGTTGTGTCTCAGGCAGGGACCGAAGAGAGGATTGGGCCTGGTGAGCTTTGATTTGCCATTGCAATTGCCAGCGCCTGCGTTTTGGAGGCCCCCTCCCAACCTTCCTTTTAATATATGTAGAGATGGCTTCGAAATAGAATCGAGAGGCCTCTGCTGGTTGAAGTATGGTGATGTCGATCATTTCGCGCAGGAGCGGGATGATGAACGTGTTGAGGTCGTCGTCGTGGATAGTTGCAATGTCATTTGCGATCTTTGTCAGGAGTTGCCCTGCGATGTTCAAACTGTCTTTGGCAAGGTGACGATACAAAGACATGACGACAGCAGCATCCTGTTCACCTGTCTGATCAAGCCAATCGTATTGTGGCCACGAAGAAAATGGGTAGTCCTCGCTGCTGCATGAGTCATGTTTTCGACGGGACGAAAACTGTTGCAACTGGAAAGATGAGACTGCTGGATGCAAAATCGCGGGGAGGAGATGTTCCATCAAGTCTGTCTTCTGCACTGTTTGGGCGTGGCAAAGAACTTCCACCAGGAGGGTGGTTGTGAAGCCCTCCTCATCCAGAAAGCGACGTACGAAACAGTCGATCCTATTTAACCAGTGTTCAGTCAGCATCCTAGTCGGTTGAAAACTCCATATAGGTTCACCTTCTCATGAAGAACTCACAGTTTCCACACCGCCTCGTCCCTGTACGAGTCCAAAAGCTGAACCACAGCTCCTGCATCCTCAGGTGAGACCGTTGTGATCGAACTCAGAACGTTACAAAGGACTTCCACTGCCCACTGGTGCTCTGATTCCATGCTGGATTGCGGTCTGGGAGTGTCCGAGGCTACACCCGACTGGAATGCACGGAGGCCACGATCAACGAGGTGCAGGTTCGGAATGCGGGAGAAGGCTTCCACGCAACTGAAATTCTTTTAGCTGGGGCAGTGGCCCAGTTCATGCTCGAACTCACAAGTCTCTGGTGTCCTCATATCCTAGCCGGCCGAGCTCCTGGAAAGTAGACGCGTCGAAGGTATGCTTCACGGAGTCGAGGGCTGCTCTCGCTAGCTCAGATTTCCCGATACGTAATGACGCTATTGCTGTTTGGCCCATCAAAGCATCTTTCATCTGATTGTTGTTGTATTGTCTTTTAATATGCCTTCGGCATGTTTGGACTATCATTTCGCGGAAGAGATCATGTTCATAGTCGTCGTGCGAGTTCTCGAGGATATCACAAAGTCGTCTGAGTAACTCGGAGTAATCAGAAGCCGTGTAACCGCGCCCAAGCAGACTCTCCGCGGCAGAGACCCGAGGAACAATGATGGCGACCTACATAGGTATTCAGTCAGAGACTCAACTTCAACTTACACAAGGCTTACGGTATCATGGTAAACTCGCTCGCTCTGAGAAGGTTCATCGTCCAAGCGGCCAACAGCCCATTGCTTAACGAGCTGACTATGCTCATACCCACGTGCGAGACAGTCTGTCTGCATCGAGGTATTTTGAAGTTTGTCGCCGTGAAGTGTAACAATATCGCGTAAGCAAGAGCTTTCCTCAACTTCTTCATAGTCCTCATCCTTAGACCCAGTCACATTCACATGTCTCTCCAAGGTGGACAAAAAAACACAGAAGCGGCCATTAGACCGGCAAGCGCTGTCAAGCTGGCAACAGCGATAATAGTCGTCACCCTTTAGACTGCTGAGTCGAAGTTTTGGCAGCCTAAATTGAAGTTTTGCACTAGTATATTCGTGCTGCAGAGCGTAACACATCAGTGCTGGTCTGTTTGGCATAGAGTACCACTTGTTCAGCATCTGTTTGATCCTGGACTGTTCAACATCCTGTACAGCAGCTGAAAGCTGCAGTTCAGTACTATTGTTGACGAGATTGTATGTTAAGACGACTCGGTACCCGGCCTGAACTGGTAACACCTGTTCCCGTAAGCCCTTGATTTAAAACCTATCGAGCACAATGCTGCCTACCTCATGAGAAACATCATTGTACCTTCACTCCCAGTTAGTATGACTCTGTATTGAATGGGGAGCTGTCTTACCAAGCCAAATAAGAGACGCCGTAGGAAGACGACTTGTGCGTTTCAAGAACCTTTTCATCCTGTCCATGAATCAAGCGAACTCCGCCACCGACGTGCTCGGATGGTAAGCAAATCTCCAGTGTCCCAAACATGTTTCGCGTCATCTCTGTGCTGTAATTGTCAGCCAAAATGCCAGATGTGAGCTCTTGATTTGACGGACTTTTTCTGAGGTTTGGAAAATGCGCCCTCCTCATACACGAGTAAATTGGAAAGCTCAGCGCGTATACTTCCAGCACAAGGAGGGATACCCAAGCCCTCGCGAACTTTTACAACAATTTGATAAAGCCAGCTGTTCCAGCCCTCATTTCCGAAAGACAACTCTTCCCCATCGATCTCCCAGGTCTTCCTGACAGTCTCACGAGCAACCGCTTTTTCCTCTTTGTCAGAAGTGGACTGGCGGCTCACTTGAATAAGAGCATTCGCATCTTCAGGAAGTAATGGGAGTCTGATCGGACCGACGCCTTTGACGCCTAGACCAGGGTGAATGTGATTCACGTTGTAACCCGCTGTTGAAAAAGATCCTGCACTATGTATTTCATTAAGACAGGCCGAAATCTGAGATCTCAACGGGTCGAGGTAGTCTTCCTCACAGGAGGAATATCCCTCTGAGCTCATGGTGGCCAAACCCCTGCGAACCTGTTATTGTTCGCAACGTAGAGATTTGAATTCTCCGTTATAAGGAAATGACTCCCGCGCCTCCTGACTCTTATATGTGCGGCAATTTGCGTATATCCTACACAACATAATCACAGTTTAAGACAAGGTGAGCAACAAGACCAACAGCACTTAACGCGTCTACAGTTGAAGACGCGTGTGGTGTCGCGAAATAAGCACGTAAATTATGTAAGCTAACTACAACGTTGTATAAGTCAGCATAGCGTAGTAGTAGTAGGTGGCACGTGCAGCAACTTCAGGCATCCCTATGATCGTGCTTAGTAACTGCTTGGTACGTTTGGCGTGTTTGACAAGTTGAATTTGCCCCAGCGCAGGGACACTGGCAGTGGTAGAATAATAATAAACTGCGCCCTACTCAGCCTGCCTTGCACATCGTCCATCGTGATTGCCATCAGTCGCAATCCTCGTTGCACACATCTTTCATCGTCCAGTTCATCTTGCAGTACTCAAGATGGCGTGGCGCAATCAAGGCATTACTGGCTCCAACAATATACCCTTGGGAACGCGCCGTCGGTTTGGGGGCGACAGCGCTGCAGCGGACTCGCAAAATGGCAGCTCCATGAATCCTCCTGCTCATGGGGATTCTGGAAAGCGCGGGCGAAGTCCTACCAGAGGTACTTTAACTATCCCAGGCACGCTTAGCATGATGCTTACTACCGTTGTAGCTGAACCCACCACCGATGGCGACGGTACCAAGCGACGCAGAAAGCGTAACCGCTGGGGAGAAGCCGGGGAGAACAAGGCAGCCGGGCTCATGGGCCTTCCCACAATGATTCAGGCAAACATGACAGCTGAACAGCTCGAGGCATATACTCTTCATCTCCGTATTGAAGAGATCAGTCAGAAGTTGCGAATCAACGATGTGGTCCCTGCGGAAGCAGACAGGTGCGTTTCAAGCCCTCATCTTGGTGCAAACCAGATTGCTAACAGTCCAACAGGTCGCCTTCACCTCCACCACAATATGACAACTTTGGCCGTCGTGTCAATACACGCGAGTTTCGCTATCGAAAGCGACTCGAAGATGAGCGACACAAGCTGGTGGAAAAGGCCATGAAAACCATCCCCAACTACCATCCGCCATCTGACTACAGACGGCCCACCAAGACTCAGGAAAAGGTTTACGTGCCTGTCAACGACTATCCCGAGATTAACTTTAGTATGCTAACTAACCCTCTAACTCTGTTACAAGCCCTCATCTTTTGCTCTCCTTTCCACTTGCTATCGCCAGCGCCTTGCGGTCGTGACGGTAGATGTGGCATCCTGTTTTCTCACTAACTACGTTTCCCTGTCATCTGCTTGAGAATCACATACTAACACTTAGCTTCTTCTTCGAAAAGTTGGACTACTTATTGGGCCCCGTGGAAACACCTTGAAGAAGATGGAGTCCGAGTCTGGGGCCAAGATTGCCATTCGAGGCAAAGGCTCTGTCAAGGAGGGCAAGGGACGATCTGACGCTGCTCATACTAGCAACCAGGAAGAAGACCTGCATTGTCTCATCATGGCGGACACAGAAGAGAAGGTCAACAAAGCCAAGGCCTTGATCCACAACGTTATTGAAACCGCGGCTTCCATTCCCGAAGGCCAAAACGAGCTCAAGAGAAACCAGCTTCGCGAACTCGCGGCTCTCAACGGTACGCTCCGTGACGATGAAAACCAGGCATGTCAGAACTGTAAGTCTCGGCCAGATTCTCCGTTTCATTCGTCTTTCGCTAATCACGATTCTTAGGTGGTCAAATCGGGCATAGGAAGTACGACTGTCCAGAGCAGCGCAATTTCACTGCCAATATCATCTGTCGTGTCTGTGGGAATGCTGGACACATGGCTAGGGACTGCCCAGACAGACAGCGCGGCACGGATTCACGCAACCATATTCCAGGAGGATATGGTGGGCCTCAGAGACGCCTGGGTCCTGCTGATGCAGTCGACAGAGAAATGGAGGTATGTGTCCTCATCGTGTGCAGTTGAATCAGCTCACTGACCGGTCTAGAATCTCATGCAAGAACTTTCTGGCAATCCATCTGGCAATGGTCCAGTTGGCCGCATCGAGGCTGCTCCAAGTGGTTATGATCAAGCAGATTCATATAGCGGCGCCCCCACGCACAGGGACTCCCGCCCATGGGCGCGGCAACCGACTGGTGGTCCTGCTCCATGGCAGCGTGATCGCCAGGAGCGTGACTACGGGGCCCGAGAAGGCGGAACGTCACTCCCGCCCTGGGCGCAGAATCGTGGTGCTGATAGTCATGGAGGCTATGGATCAGCTCCGGCCAGCCACGACCTACCGCCGTGGCAGCAGCAAGCTCCGCCTGTTGCCCAGCCTTACGGCTATGGAGGGTATCCCGGCTACGATGGTCAAGCTGCTTACGGAGTCCCGCCGCCTCCAGCCGCAGTAGCAGGAGCGGTCCCTCCTAGCCTCAGCAGTTTCCTTCAACAATTTGCTGGAAATGCTCCCCCACCACCACCGGATACACAAGCTCCACCACCTCCTCCGCCAGATAACCAACCGCCGCCACCACCTGGCATGGATGATTATGTACCGCCGCCGCCACCGTCGGCATAGAGTGTTGAACCTAGTTCGCCGTGAACGATGTTGGACTATTAGCTACGACAGGGCCAAAGGAATGGCAGGGTTGGATGAATCGTGCAGAGTCGCTGTGGACAGTCGGAAATGAAAACGGATTCTTGCGTACGGGCATTGAGCTCGCCTTTCAATGCGTTGTCTGTGCAGAACTGCCAATAGGGGAAATCGTTACATGTTCTTCGGGTAACGACTTATGTACTCAAGCGCAACTCGATGGCTGATTAGTAGTCTTCAGCGACGATGGCAACTTGAATCATGCAGTTGGTGGAGCGGTGCTTGTTTGTTAGCGTGCGGGGAATTTCAAGTTCCACGCGCGGCTCGACCCGCGGGAAATCCGGAAGTCGAATCTCATTATCCTACTACTAGTACCTCTATTACTCGAGAAGAATCATGATTGCCAGTTACGGTTTGATCCTAGAGGGTGTGCGAAGGACACTTTAACCTGAGCTTTAACTAAGTACTCCCTGATCGCGTCCTAAGCACTCCCTAAGCAAACAAGTTATCTATCGCGGAGAACTACCACAAGGATCGACTAAACGTGTACCAGTATACTCTATTAATATTTAGGGGCTAATTTATACACGTTTAGTTTATGCCTTTACCTTATAGTAGTACTCTATAACACTTTGCAAAGAAAAGGATACAACTACTCCGACCTAACTGATACGACGTAGCAGGTACTATACTGCGTGGTATAGGCCGATTTCTATACCTTTTGCAAAGTGCATCTTCGGTAACTAATTAACCCAAGCTGCTAAATCACGGCGGAGGCGCGAACAGAGCGTCTGACTCGTTATTTTTTTGTCCCATGAACCAGAACGTCCTCTTAAATCAAGGCTCAAATAACTGTTTTTCGCTTCTCATGTCGCTGCTGGCCAGGAGGGACAATGGTATTATTGGTGCTCGATTGCCTCAGCGTTAAGTAGGCTTGGCTTTTTCGTCGGCTTCCCCGCGGACGCGTATCCCGACTTCGACAGATTCGGCGGCAACACTGACAAGCGCTTCGACCCTGCGATTTCAATCGGCATGGTAAGTGGTTCAGCACCTTTAGCCGCTCAAAAGAGACGGCGTATGCCAACCCAGGCGAGGAAAGGTACATTGTCGCAACTCTTATCATTGTAACTGCGCTGACTTAAAAAGCACAAACACATCGAGGTAGCGTCAGTAAAGCTACCAGGGTACGACGAAGTCCTCGCATCACATCCGCTGTTAAGAACTCGTCGCAGCAAAGATGCAGAAGCCTGCGCCTCCAAGGTGCCGATCCTATCCAGACAGCGCCCGATTCCGTTCAGCAGGCGAAGACGCCAAAGCGACCTCAAGAAGGTGAAGTTCCACCCTTCCGCTCTTCGTCCGAGCAGCTCCCAAAACGATTACGAACATCTGCAGCTTCAGTCGGCGAACGAGTTGGGTGGGAGACAATTAGCGAGGCTCGGGTTGAATACTGGAGGGAGAACGGAACCTGGCCAACAGAAGAACAAGAGAAGACAATGGATCGATTTCGGGATATCGTTAATCATGCGCTCGCAAGAAAACGGTTGGGTTCCCTTAGCTGCCAACGCTCAAATGCCAGCTTGAGTACGGAAACAACCCAGACACAGAGTCCAAGCAGCCAACAACCGCGGGATCAGAAGAGTGCGCCGTATACACATCCGTTGTTTGAAGATCAATTGAAGGAGTGTGGCAGCCTTATGGATGATTACGAAGGAGGTATTACCGCTCGAAGTGAAAGGCTTTGCCAAATGCTCCTGAAAGCACCACAGCCACCACCTGAACATACCCTTTTTTCCGACGACAGCCTGTTCAAGAAGACGTGCAAAAGAATGAGGGGCGCTAACAAGACCAAGGTGATCCGCGATATTGCACAGCTTATTGTTCCTTCAGCTGAGATACTGGCCGACAAGGGAGCCGAACACCTAGAGATTCTTCGAGAGACTACCAACGCATGCTGGGTCAACGCTATTCCTTTTCTCAGGCCTCCTGGTTCCCGTCCTGCTCCTCGTCCACAGCCTGACTTTGGCCTTGGGTTTAAGAGAGATGCATTCAATCGAGAACAGCTTCAAAAGCTGCAACCTTATGTCGGCGATCCACTTGCTGATTCTTCCTTAGTTGCAGCCACGTATAATATGTATTTTCCATTTCTCACCAGCGAAGTCAAATGCGGAGCAACCGGACTTGACATTGCTGATCGACAGAACGCTCACAGTCAATCCGTCATATTACGTGGTCTGACTACACTCTTCCGCCTTGTAGGCCGGGAGAACGAACTAAACCAGGAAATTAATGGCTTTTCAATCTCTCACAGCGATGCGGATGTGAGAATTTACGGTCATTATGCTGTTATTAATGAGAAAGATGTTAGGTTCTACCGACATTCAATTGCCGAATTCAACATCTCGCCGACGGCAGAAGGAGACCAAAGGTGGAAGGCATACACTTTTGTCCGGAACGTCTACGATTTGTGGCTTCCAGAGCACTTTAATCGAATCCGTTCTGCCATCGATATGTTACCGGCTGACTTAAATTTCGAAGTCTCCAATCAGTCCGAACCTCACTTTCTAGATCAGGAACTGCCTTCATCGCGATCAGGACTGTCCCAGCGATTTGACGATCACAGCTTAGCCGATGAAAGAGTGATTCCGGTCAGCCAGCCAAGCGTCCAGCAAATCACCCCGGACGCAACGATCCGGTCTGAGCCAAGTAACTCTGGGAAGAAAAAGAGGAAGTAACCACTTGCTCACAAGGCTCATCAGCATTCAAGCCTGCTACTATAGTACCCAAAGTCGAACAACCCCGCACCCTTTGGCAACAGACGTGCATTTTACTAGGATTAAACTGTATATGGTAATTGGGTTCTTCGTTCTCGAGTAATAGAGGTAGTATTGTTACAACTACCTACCACTACTAGTAGTACTAGTATTACTACAATTAGGACAGTTTGTCCAACTTGAAAGTCCGTCGCTCCGTTTGCGGTACCATGTCAGCTGGTTTCACAGACGCGGCACGCTGCAGAGATGAACTGCGGACATTTTTTCCAATTGAATTCACAGACTCCCTGCTAGGGACCAGGACTACACGCCCAGCGCGGTTGTGACAATCAAATACCCGTGGTGTCAGCACACTGCATGCCGAAGGCACCGTACCTGGTAACTCCCAATTAACCCCCCCAACGAGCAAACGGTGAGGCAGAGCTTGAAAGATATCACGGCCGGATCTGAGGAAGGAGGGAAGGCCTACCTCCTCTCAACGTATTCCGCAGGTCCAATTTACGTTTCCTCTCCTGTGATCTCTGCCCACACTATTCAAAATAAGCTCTCATTACTCGTGTCTAGCAGCCATGACCCCGCCAAATACATGGGATTTGCCAGTCGTAGTGTTATCCTCCTTGTCTGTGTCACCTCAGGAACTGACGTGCACTAGGCACCACAGAGAGATGACGGGTCCAATGCACTTTTCTCTGTTGGCCATAAGCGCAAATCATTGCAGCACGATGAACAACAATCCGACAACGATCAATGTCCACCGTTCAAGCGATGTCGTACTTCTAAACCATCTCTCCTTGACAAAAGAGACCCAAATGAAGTCGGAAAGTATCAACCGGAAAAGGTTGTCGAGGCTCAATCACTTGAAGCATGGATCCGGACCGGCTCGTGGCCCGCTCAAATCTCGAGACATGTCAATCAATCCGGGGAAGTTCCTGGAGATCCACCACCTTCTGACCAAGGACGACGGCAACCCTCACATCATATCTTGCCGCATAGCCCGAGGCGCCCTACTAGCGAAGGCATATCACCCAAGTCCCGACCCATCAGACCATGCCGCGTCCGACGACCTGGACAACCCGCGGTTGGACACGATACTGGCGAAGCATGGGCATTACCCGCGGACGGCATCGAACCAGGACTGTTGTACCGGTCTGAAAAGGTTAGTACACCACGGCCTGAAATTCTAGCCCGCATCTCATGGCGTGTACCTCGACCTGCTTTATCCATTACATCGGATACCGAATCCAGCTCTGCAACAGAAACCAGCCTGACCTCTTGTACGACGTTATGGGACTCGGACTTTACACTTCTGGACCATGAGGGCACGATCCTGCAACCCGAGAGTCTCTCGCTGGCCGATTAGACTGGCCATTGCTTCCTGAACACGACTTCTGGTCTAAGGCCGGTTCTGAATGGATTCAATTTGCGGTAATGTTTGCAATCGCGGCAATGTGATGATACCCGGTAACGAGCGGATTCAACCATGCACCAAAATCCCCAGCGTCCTCGCTTTTCAGCCTAGCTTGCGGTGATATGGCGAGCGTCCAGAGTGGCACGCTCCTCTTCGGACATGATGCTTCGGGGTCTGGGCTGCATGTGGGAATGGTAGCGGTGTACGCTCGTGTTGGGGACACTGAGCTGTGCTGTTCGACATTAGGTTTCGACAGCAACGACCATCTTGAAAATTTTTGTTTTTGCCTGGGGGATGCCAAACCGTAGTGTACTACATGATCGCAGAAGCCACTAGGAATGGAACTCATTGCCAGTCCTTCACGAGGCCCATGACCTTCTGATCAGGCACTTTCACCCATTCCATCCGTGTCAAAATCCGAAGTCACTCGTTTCTCTGGGTCTGGGCCAGGCTACTTGTCGAAGTAGGATATTCGGTGCATCACTGACGTGGGATCGCGCCTATAGCATTCACAACTTCAACAAACAGTAGTGCCGAAGAAAGACGCCCGCTTGAACCGGTGGTATGCATTCTGCTTATGGAGTGGGATAGTTTTGGAGAGCAGTAATTGCTGAGAAATGGCTATGCTTCAGGTTCCTCAGGGCTGCGTTATTGTCGACATCCTTTTCTACTTTACCCTGACAACATCAACAGCATCCTGCTGCTCTGCTGCTTCGTATCTTTCCCTTGCTCTCCCAGACATGGAATCGCACGAAGACGGCCAGTTATACCCTCTAGCCAAACAGTAACCCTGGCGTGGAAGAGCGGTAAACTGTTGTCTGGAAGGTATCAGGATGTTCACCACGCAACCGCTCCGTTTGGAAAGGAATCCAATGTTGACCTCGCCATACCTGTTTCGATATTGAACTCTTTGCGGATTGGAAACATCAAAGACCTGAGTCACAGCACAAGGTCTGGATGGCGACCACGTGTGGTTTGGTTGCAGTGCAGTGCCATGCATGCCTAGTCATGCAGGTCTCGCTCATTCGGGTGTTGGACGTGGTGTGCTTCAATTCCGTCCAGCTGCTACCAATCGCACGATCTGGCCAGCACATCCGCAACGGCCTCGAGACCAGTTTGATCTGCCTCGTCGAAACCGCCGACCTCTGCACAATCGACATCGATGACACCGACGACCTGTTTGTGGACCGGAACGAAAATCAGCACCGGGAATGATATGACATGACATGCCACTTTCAGGTTGTGTACGAGAAGCGTACCAGACGAACAAGCAATGGACAGGGCTATTTGTGTTTCGCAATAGTAAACGGGTGGAGGGGCGGGAAGGGACTCGACGGATACAGACCTTTCCATCGACTTTGATCGGAACCACTATCTCGCTTCGACTGTCGCCGTCGCAGGCAATGTGGCCCGGGAACTCGTCTACATCTCGAACAAGAACCGTGCGGCCCTGCTGTGCTGCGGCGCCGCAGACGCCCTTCCCAAACCGGATGGTCTGGCAGGCTACTTTGCCCATGAACGGGCCGAGGATCAGTTGTTGTCCATCAGGATCCCGGGGATCGAGGACGTAGAATCCGCTCCAGTTGACGGATGACGACGGCGCCGGCAAGGAATGGTACAAATGCCAGAGCAGCGATGCCGCGTTGGCAGTGTTAGCAACCCAGTTCCGCTGGTCGGCGACGAGCGCACTTAGTGAGTCGAGGAGTTGCGCATACGCCGTGGGTTTGTCTATCCCACTGTCGAACTTGGCTGCGTCGGCGTGTGGCTGTAGGTGAATGTGAGAGTGAGTGGAAGTCGGATGATGTATCAAATGAGCTTGGGGAGAGAAGATTTCGACCCGGTGAGCTGTGGGCGGTGTATAGTGATGACGGATTGAAGGGATAGGTGGAGGAAGGAAGAACCGGCGGCTGGATACTAACCATGATGAACTTCGGAATGAATGAATGAATGGACTTGATGCCACTTGTGTAACTCGGTGGTTGGCCAAACCCCTGAGTCGGTTGATGTTTCGGCCGTTCTGCGCGAAGAATGTCTCAACTGGATGGTCACTGTTGATGTTCTTCAAGAGTCAAGACTTTTGCACCATTCAGTTGACTGACCTGATAGTATGTATAATTGTAAATCTTGGGCCGATTGAATGATTGCGTGCTTCGCGCCGGGATGAAGACAAAAGAAGGAAAGATTCGAGATTGAGCCCCGCTTCGGCCCAATTCGGTTTCCAGTCAAGCCTTGAAATAATTGTTTGATCTCAAAGTTGCATCTTATTTATTATCATCTTGACGCCTCCCGTCTTGCACCCACAGTGAACCTGATCTCGAAGGTTCATGCTTAGCACCACTTGGCACATGCTGATGGTCTTGGTTTGCTCTTCTGCATATCCCTTTCCAACATAGCTCTGCAATATCCCCGCCGGGACGCGGTCGCTGTCTGACCCCTGTGCTCCGCTTTCGACATGTTGACCGCGTTGACTTCCCATCTATTCCTCCCTGCTAGTCGCCACCATGTCCCTCCAGGTCTGTTCTCGATGTCGAAGGAAGAGAATCAAGGTAAGCCGTCGCCACCGTTTTAGCATCCCTACAGCCTCATTCTTAGGCACCTAGTGTGGTCTACAACTGCCGGCCTGCAAAATGTGTCGACTTGCCGACGCCGAATGCACTTTCTGGGACGACACTCTTGATCGAGAAATTCCAGGCAGGTGAGGGTGACTTTAATAGCTGGACTCGTATTGTCGCCTCTGATCAGGCGTCAGCTATCTATATCCACTCCAGCAAAAGGCCCGAGGTCTCGAGGCAGAGATTCAACAAGCTACGAACCAAGACCATGCAACTGCGGCGTATGAGGTCAACTCAGTGTCGCCTCTCGAGCAGGACTATCATTTGACCCTAGCAGACGCTGAAGAACTGCCGTCATTTTCCCCGGCGATCTATCTGGGTCCTGGAAACGCAGCATCTTTCATCAAGCGGCTCCTGACCGATATGACTACCTGGCATATAACCAATGGTAGCTCGTTGCCGAAGCGTTTAATTCCAAACGATTTATCCGCCTTTAGCAGCTTTCAGGAACCCGAGAGGATACCTTCCTTCCCTATGGCCAACGACACGCGGAAGGCAGAGCTGCATTCTCCTCTGCCGCCTTCAACCCAACGAGCCGTCATAGAACACTATCTAAAAGTCATCGCCCGGAGTATACTTTACTTCCGGTGGAGCGGGAGCTCGGTCTATTGGTACATGAAAACCCTCTGAAGTGGACAAGCTCGCATAGGAATGACCCTGCGGCAATCTCTCTGAATATCGTGTTCGCCATCGCAACCGGTCTCGTCGCTCGCGATCTCGATTTCAGGCTGGCGAATGTATTCACGCGGAGCAAAGAGATTGTCCAGCAGACCGTCTTGCACGATGATCCCGATACTGATACTCTGACTGCTGCGAGATGGTCCTGCACCGCTTTATGCGCGCTCGCTTTATGCGAACTGATCTGTCCGACATCGGGGCAGCTTTGGGACCTGCTTGGGAGAGCTTGTTCGACGCTGGAAGATCTCAGAGAAGGGATTCGACTGGGACACTCAAACATGGACAATGACATTCGCAGGCTGGAGCGGGTTGTTCTGAAACTGGAGAGGTAAATTTGAACCATCTTACTGTTCGATTATTGCCCACTCACACTGATTTTCACAGCAAAGCTACGACGCATTTCCGACGCACCTCACTCTTCCTCGACAGTCAACTGACATTATACCTCCGAAGTATCCCGCCCTCGGACGTTCTGGCAGACGAGCTCTACGTCGTAAGGTGTCTGCACAACATTTCACGTGTGCTCGTGACTGTATCGGCACCCACAGAGACATATCTGGAGGGTCTCATTCCCGGGTTCCTCCAGGTTACTTCGCTGGACTCTGAAATAAGCGCTCCTTCAGCAACGCTGTATGTCGCTTTACATCCCCTGTTCACCCACTCAGACAGGTTTGCTGGGGGTGGCTATTCAATAACCCATCTCCTCGTATTATCCACGTAATTGCCAGATCCGCCGCCGTCATGATTGACCACTTCACCAAGCTCAACCAGAGACAAATGATTATCAGCCTCTGGATGGCCGCTGAAAGAGTCCTCGAAGCCGGTGCTGTGTGGGCGGCATATCTGATGCACCAAAGAAGGGTGTCAGGCCGAGGACCGCAAGGTGTTGCTGCCATGGCGACGGATCTCGCATTCGCTCCCATTGTCAAGGTGTCCAGTCTTCTAGCGTCGTTCGCCGCCCGGTGGAGGCCTGGGTCAACGTACGTGGACAACTGGGAAACCTTGGTCGAATTGCTTTGGAAAATGGTGTGAAGTGGTATCAAGTATGTACGCATATCAGCCAACAAGTCTCGCAGGAGGTCAATGGTCCTTCGGCCTCCTGAGATCGAGTACGCAGAATCGCCATCATCCATGGGGTTTCGAACAGAGCGATGATGCTCCGCCTTGAAGTATTCTCCGAACAACCCAACTGAATCGAGTGCCCATCGAACTTCTCTTCAAGCATCCACGTCTCCGACAAAGCATGCCTCACCACATCCTCCGGCGGCGAGACCTGCTGTCACGTCGTAGATTCTTCCAGCAGGAACTGTGGCCGGTCAAGAATTACACGGGAATGATTTCTGAGGCTTGAGTGAGTCGGCATCGCTCCGCTCCACTTGGTATTGTAGCGAAATGGTGGACGAACCATCCCTTAGCGGGGATCAAAATACGCTACCTGGCTGTGTGACAAGCCATGGCGTGCGGAAGTGGTGTACCTACCTAGGTACATAAGAGGTACCAATACTGTACCTGACTAAATCGACGGAAACGGTGACTGCCGGGCATGGTGCGATCTTTTCTCTCCCCACCCTGGTTCGGGCTTTGAGGACATTATTTACGGTGTCGACTGTCTACGGATACGATTGGGCCATTTGTCAAGATTCAAACATACAAGTTGTGTTGGCCACGAAGGAAGAAGGAGCAAGCGCTCCAAACAAATTCCGCCACGTTCCGTGGTCATGGTTGGCGCAATGGCTCCTTGACAGCCGGACTGTGTCCAACTTGAAAAGGTCTGTCAATATCGGCGCGGGCTATCACAGTCGAGCTTGTTGTTGAAGTTCGGCCACAGCACCGGTGGACCTTGCTCAACGGAATTCAGCTAGCTTGCTCGCATGGTTTCAGGTCAACTCCGTCCCCACAGCTGGAACGGGGAGAGATTATTGGGAAACGATGTCGACGCTCTCCACTGCACTCTGGAACTGGTAGCAAAGATCCATATCGTGTTTGTCAACTCCCGCAACGCCTGACCTTCCGTGCCTTCGAGGTGTTGGGGCTGACCAATGTAGTCGTCTTCGCTGTTCTCGTCGCCCGTATATATAACTATTAGGTAGGTACTTTACGGCGTGGCGGATCAAGACGGACTACACAGACACGACTTCCACTTCAATCCTAATTGCTTGATACGCTTCGAGGCTACATACCTACAGCAGGCCAAGATGACGGACGCAAAGGTATCGACGGTGCAGATGGACGATGGGGCCAAGCTATATGTCAAACTCCACAGCGACACTGCAGACAAGACAAAGCCATTGCTCATTGGCCTCCATGGAGCCCAGGGACTCATTACCCACGCTGAACTCGATGCTTCCCTCCGTTACCTATCCTCCAGTTTCCGTGTGCTGGTATTTGATGGTCGAGGCAGCGGTGCGTCGGACAAGGTTGGGCCTTGTACGCACGAACGCTGGATGAAGGACATTGAGAATCTCAGGTAGGCGAGCACCCTGATGCGGCCATGGCTCCGTGAACTGTGATGGCTGAAATTCGTCGCTCACAGGGCCTGGGCGGGCGCTGAAACCTTTGTACTTGCCGGCCACTCATACGGAGGCTTTCTGGCCCTCGATTACGCTGTCAATCATCCCGACCGGTTGCGCGGCTTGGCTTTGATTGACACCTGGACCGTGGGAACCTTGGGGGCCATGACCGCGTTGGCGAACATCTTGACGTCCGACAGAGTTCATGTGGACAAAGCACGCCAAGTTCGAGTCTGGTCTGGGAACCTCCTCAGCGACCAGGACTATCAAGAAGGCATTACAGAGCTTATCCCTTTTTACGCGCCACCCGAACATGCTGCAATCAAGCACTCGGCACCGGAGGCCACAGAATCCACTGAAGGGTTTGCGAGGCTTCATTTTCATTTCGAAACGCAAAACTGGGCCTTCGGTTACAATATGCCTCGCTTCGACGTGCGACAACAGCTCAAAGATATCAAGGCAAGCCTCGCCCAGTCCTCTTCTGCCATGAAGGCTTACTAACCATCCTCAGGCCCCAACGCTAGTTACTGTCGGCCGTTATGACTATGTCACCCCCGTGAGCTTTGCCCAAGAGCTCGAAAGCGGCATTCCCGATTCAAGTCTGGAGATCTTTGAGCATTCAGGGCACAGCCCTCAGTCGGACGAGCCAGAGAAGTTTCGCCAGGTGTTGCTGGACTTCTTGAAGGCTAGGGTGCTGTGAAGTGCATAGAGGAGTAGGATAGCCTCGCAAGTTCTTATTGGATGATCGTGTAATCCGACACAAGGATGGTGTATCTATGGCTCTCTCTTCCGATGTGAGGGGACTGTGCCCAGCATATTCAGGCCTGTAGCCTCTTGTGCCCGGAGCCGAGTCCGGCAGGTTTCTGAATCGCACTTTCTCGTTGAGAACAGCTGCAACACTCGTGAACTTGAATCCTATCACTCGCCCCGGATCAAAATATATATACTCTTCCGAGAATCCCAGATCTGTCAACCATCCACCTCACTCATGTAACGTTCAACTTGAAGTTGTCGGTCCGCTGTTCATTCAGCGCGAAGGGCCCGTGCAATAAGTTAATCCCACCTTGAACTAATTATTTATAGGCTTCCGAGGGTTTCAGCGCCACTGTCCCATTGCGTCCGCCCTTGATCCGTACTTTTATCAGCAATGGGCTGACTGATCAGTTCATTCTTTGCTTCAACACCCGTTCAAAGCAGCCTATATCATGTACTGTCACTCTTCAACTTTAACGTCTAAGCCATAGTCCGACAGAGCTAGAATTAGGTGAATGGCAACCCCGATGATTGAGCCGCCCAGGAAGCGGCGCCATACGAGAGCATGTGCTCGCTGTCCAAAGAGGAAGATCCGGGTATGAAAATGGACCATCGAACTGTCAAACACTCGCTTTGCTCAGTCGCTTTCAGTGCGACTTCCAATATCCCAGTTGTGGAGCTTGTTCTGCGGCTGGCGTGGCGTGCTCAGGTTCCGACCCTGTTGATGGCACGGACAAGCCTCGAAGCTTGGTCCGGCATCTCGAAGAACGAGTTGCGCGCTTGGAAATGGATCTGGCGGCTCTCAGAAACCAGTCCAGCAATATCGCCAGCAACGTTACCGCAGCCACAGATCAATTGGCTACTGACCTCGCGAAAGTGACTGTCGAACCCCGTGGTTATTCGCACAAACAGGACAGCCTCGACCCGCTCACTTCGAACTATTTTCTCTCCGACTCGCCCCTCCCGAAACTGAACCTGGAGCCTTGGGATGGCAACAAGAGCGAGGGTGGTCAGCCCCAGTCAGCGCCGCCCAAAGCGATCTCATCGATTCCTCGCCACGTCGTGGACGCGATGCTGAAGCACTACTGTGAAACGTACCACCCACAGTATCCATCAATCGGAGAGGCAGACCTATATCGTGCCAGAGATGAGGTCTATCAGAACCCACAGGTTGGCGAGTTCGACATCTTTGTCATCGCTATAACTGTGGCTATAAGCTCCAACACTCTCATGCACGTCGATGAGAAGCGGGCGGCGACGACGACCTCTGGCTTGTGGGCTACGGCTGTGTCCCATCTCAACGAGATTGGCATGACAAGCTCGTGGGACCGCTTGCAGGCCTTGCAGCTTCTCACCCATTACGGTTTCCTCAATCCACAAGATGTGAATGTGAGTCACTGTGCCGCTGCCGCCACTCGGCTGGCGTTTCACTTGGGCCTGCACAGAGAGGTGCCACCCTTGACGCAGACGAAGGTCGATACGTCGATCCTCAATACCCGCCGGAGGATGTTCTGGAATGCATATGCGATTGACGCGTGAGAAGCTTGGTCTTGGTAAAGTGTTTGTCGACTCTGACAGTCAATAGAGCAACTCGCACTGTCCGTCGTCAGCCTTTCAAGTGGTCGAGGCCGGAGATCACTGCAAAGGTAGGATTGCAGACTCCTGGCGCTACAAAGTTAGACTCAACGGAATTTTAGTTCCCAGACTCCGAGTCTCTAGCCACACAGACACACTGTGCTCACGTGTGGTCGTTACGAGAGATCGAATGCGACATCACCCTGGGGCTGGAGTATCCAATGCTAGACCTTGAGTTTCCGGATGTTGCCCCTTCTCCCGAGCATTGGTATGTACGGACACACACTCGGCTCGAGCAGTGGTACCAGAGCGTTCGCCGAAATGCGACTCTTACCGCCAAAATCGAGTTCCACAAGTTGTTGTTCCAAATCCAGGTCCTGTGGTTGAATCGGCCTTCCCCTCGCTATCCTGTCCCAATTCACGAGATGCAGAGAAAAGCCGGCATCGCTGCGATGGCCTTAATCCGAGAAGTCAGCATGTTTGACCGGCCAGGCAAGATGTTTATGCTTTGGCATGCTGCCCATTGCGTCATTGAAGCTGGTACCTACCTCTTATCTTCCGTGTTGGTCGGGATCGAGTCTCATCCTGACGACCGGATACACGTTTTTGGAGAAGATGTTGCCGTTGTTCTCAGACACATCAAGACGATCCCAAGTCTCGTCTGGAAAATAGCCCGACGCTGGCCCAGGATCAAGCAGCACGCCTCCGCCTTGGAGGCCATCTGTAACTCAACTATGGATATTCTGCAACGATGGTCCGATGGACAAGATGGGTGGCAGTCAAAAGTGTCGATGGCTCAAGAAGAACTGGGTCAGCTGACACTGTCTCGATCGACATACATTCAAGAGGAAGCTTGAAACACCACTCAAGGACCGACAACATCAACAGACTCGATTCGAGGAGCGACTGCCTCTCATTTGACGGCGCGAACCGGTCCTGTTTTCGGCTATCCCGCTGTGCGGATGTCAGCAGCCGAAGAGCCCGCCAGCACTGGGTCTGGCTGGTTAGACAACCAGAAGGCCTTGGATAACAGTCTGCCGGCTCTTCAGGAGAATTGCAGTCTCGATTATGGCGATCCACTGATGTGGAATTTCGACGGCCTGGACTCAGAAGAGATCTTTGCCGCATTACTTGCAGAAGGGGAGCCAGATACTGTGATGTATCAATGACAAAGCTGAATGGATTTCTGATCATCCTATGTTTCGATGATTCTGATTCCACTCTCAACATGGAACAGACTCGCCTTGATGATGCTCTTCTGCAGTTTCAGGGCGTTTCAACGAACAGTCTCAAGCATCCAGAACTCGGGTAGGTCCAGTTCTCAGCTATGTCTCTTGGGTTGAAGTGATTGTAAGAGTTGTTTTGTGGGTATCAACAATGTCCGCTCAGCTTCTGCGCGACCTATCTATCTCGCTCGGTTTCCTTCCCAGCTACGAGCGTTTTCTTCTTCTACTTTCCGTGCTTTGCACCAAGCATGTCGCCAGCTCACCACTTCACATCATTGCCGTCGTACATCACCGGCGCCTCTGCTTCGCACAAACTGTCTCGCGACCTGCGGCACCACTGGCGCCTTACACCTGCATGTTCGCACCTTCCTTGAAGTTGGCGCCAGCGCGGGAGCTCTTGATGATTTTGGTGACCGTTTCTTCGAGTTCATCCCAATCATCCGTCGCCACCTTGGTCATCTCGATATCGAAGTATCGTTGGATCTCCATCAGCTTCTCCCAATCCGCCCGGTTGCTGACAAAGGTCACGGCCACGCCGACGCGGCCGAACCGACCGGTTCGACCGATACGATGGAGATATGTCTGTGGGTCCGCGACAAACTTTCCTCCGCCGACAAACTTGTCTGGAACATCGTAGTTGACAACCATGGACACGGACTGCACATCGATACCACGAGCAAGCACGTTGGTCGTGATGAGCACTTTTGCGTGACCCATACGGAAAGAGTCGATAATGACATCTCGTTGCGCCCCTTCATAACCACCAGTCAACGACACGACCTTGTGCCCTTCCGCCGTCATGCGCTGTTCGATGGCGAGGGCGGTTTCTCTTGTCTAGTTCCACATCAGACGGGCTCAGCGTTTCATAAATATGTAGGCGATGCTTACCTTGACAAAGATAATCGACGATCCAATGGTCATCAGGCCGTAGAATCTCACCAAACAGTCATACTTGGCCTGGTCACTATCACAGTCCAAGTAGATCTGCTTGATGCCTTCGACGGTCAAGTCTTTATGCTGTAGGGTCATCTGATTGGCATTGGGGGCGAAATTCTGCGCATATTTGACCACATTGTCCGGGAACGTGGCGGAGAACAGAACCAGTTGAATGTTCTTGGGCAGCATGCTGGAAGATTGTCAGTACGATACTAGTAGACGGAGACAGGATCAACACCACTTACGCCTTGACGCGAATGCACTGATCGCCGAGACCTTGCTGATCAAGCATGTTGTCTGCTTCATCCAGGACCAGCACCTTGAGTCCTCGTACATCCATGGCTCGTCTGCGAATCATGTCCATGACCGTGCCGGGAGTACCAACAACAACTGACGCCTCAATCTTTCGTCCACGCGACGCGGCGTCCTGGGGAACCGCGGCGTCGACAATAAGTCCAGGCATATAGGAGCCCATGACTTTGACAACTCCCACAATTTGTCGGGCAAGTTCTCTGCTTGGAGCCAGTACCAGCGCTTGCGGTGTCTTCTGTTTCTGTTCGGTGCTGAGGTCGAGACGATGGAGGATGTTGAGGACGAAGGCGGCCGTCTTGCCCGTACCAGACTGAGATTGACCGATGAGATTCTGTGGGGGATCCATCAGAAGGAGCGGTAGGGTCTTTTCCTGTACTTTGGACGGTTTTCGGAAGTTCATGGCCATGACGCCTTTGAGAATGTTTTCCTCCCTGGATTTGTCAGTCGTCAAGGCCTCCGTTCTCCTCGGGGCTTTATCACTTACAAGCCTAATTGCTCGAAAGAAGTAGCCGAGTACAAGGGATTGTTCGGGTCTGCTTGCATGTCCGCCAACTTGACCTCGACTTCAAACTCCGGCTCTTGCAACTCCGATCCACCAAAAGGTGCGGTGGCGCCATCGACCTGAGAGACCGACTCGGACGCAGGGGCCTCTGGCTTTGACTCTTTGGGCTTCTTCTCGTCCACCTTTGTAACCGCAGAGGGGTTTTCTGTCGCCGGCGAAGCGACCTCATCTGCCCACGATGTGCCAGAGGTAGGTTGGAATGACTCGGCCTGCGCGTTCATTGTGTCCGGTTTGGAGATACGGTCGGCCAAGGAGCCGCCTCCAGAAGTAGGAGCGGACATTGTCCCTGCGACGCTGGGGGTGGATTGCGCGCAAAGCGGGATCAACAAGGGAGGATCGAAAGACTTGGTCGGGGATCAAGCAGAGATGACCGCGAGGACTCCAATCGAGGCTCCAGTGGAGGGAGTAGAAAGACTTGATCAGAATCAAGAAGAAACGAGCGAAACTAAATCAGATCGAGGGTCGATGGAGAAGAGTATGTGAATTTGATCGAGGGGTTGGCGGAGGGATATTCGATATAGGTGAAAGATGGATGAGGTGCGAGCTGAATCTGCACTGGTCAACGCTGAAGTGCTGAAGCGTGTGGACTGAATAACGCACGTACTAGTATTGTTTCGATTGCTTCCGTTACGTTCACAAAGCTTCCGTGGTAGATTGTGAACTGAGTGACATGCGAAACACAAGTTGTAACCACGCATGCACAATTGTAAACGCAAAAACTGACCTCGCAAGCCAGTTTCTGGTGGCGGTGCGGAACCGTCCGTGGCGCACGACTGCGGGGAGACGAATCCTCGAATCCTGGCCCCTATCACCATGCAGCTGGTAGTACAACGTTGTACAAACGCCCGCCAAACCACTCCAACCTGGGTACCTGAGCCACACATGACCCTGTAAGTGCCTGGGACTTCTTGGTCGTCCGAGCCTCGTCGCACCGCAGCCAAACGCACTCATGTTCCCCCCGCCAGTAGTGCCCCGGCCAGAAATCTACCAGGCAAACATGGTTACAACTGTGTCCAATCTGCGCCAGCCTTGAAGACTACTACTACTATAACCTGTACTATCGGGCGATTCGAACCTCACGTGGTGTTTTGCGTTGCGCCGAGAGGATGTTGCTACGATAAGTGAGATTCACCCGCAATGGCTCAGGTGCCGGCTGTCAGCTTCGGCGCCGAACTCAAGGTGAGTTGGACTGGGTAGACCAGACCATTATGCTGTCGCTAACTCTGTGTGCAGGACGGCTACAAACCCGTCGACAACTGGGTAAGTCGCCCAACGCGACCGGGCCTCAAACCGTGCCCCAACTCCTAACCCGGCGATACAGGTCAGCCTCGGGATTACCTGGCTCACGGAAATCCAAGAATTCTACGAAGAACGCGCCGCCATCGAGAAGGAATATAGTCAAAAGTTAACAGCATTGGCGAAGAAGTACTATGACAAGAAGGCCAAAAAGTCCAGCAATCTGAGCGTGGGCGACAACCCTGCCCTTACGCCGGGTTCCCTGGAATCGGCATCGCTGACAACATGGACAACCCAACTGTCCACTCTCGAGGCACGTGCCAATGAACACGGCAAGTTTGGACAAGACTTGATCAGCCAGGTGGCCACCCCGTTGGAATACAATGCTCGGAAACTGGAAGATTTGCGGAAAAGTCATGCCGAATACCAGCTGAAGTTGCTCAAGGAGCGGGACTCATCCTACGGCGAATTGAAGAAATTGAAGGCCAAATATGACACGGTATGTCAAGAGGTTGAGAACAGACGAAGAAAGACGGAATCCTCCTTCGACAAGTCCAAAGCGCAAAGCACCTATATCCAGCAGCTGGCGGAGATGAACAATGTCAAGAATACATACCTGATCGGTATCAACGTCACCAACAAATTGAAAGAATGCTACTACCACGAATATGTCCCGGAACTCCTCGACTCACTGCAAGACTTGAATGAGACGCGCGTTGCGAAACTGAACAATCTTTGGCTGGTTGCTTCGACACTGGAGACCAACACCTTGAAACGGAGCACCGAACATATGTCACATCTTTCAGCCGAGATTCCAAGAAACGACCCCAAGCTCGATAGCAACATGTTTGTCCGGCACAATGCTGTGCAATGGCAAGAGCCGCCTAACATGGTGTTCGAGCCCTCCCCGGTTTGGCTTGACTCGGACAATATGGTGACGGACGAGACAGCCAAGATCTTTCTGCGCAATATATTACAGAAGAGCAAGCCCCTGGTCAGTCAGCTAAAGGCTGCATCGGCACAGAAGAGGAAAGAGCTCGAGAACGTGAAAAAGGTGCGTGAAAACATTCGGGCAGGCAAGGACCGGCGTGATGAAGTGGATTGTGTCCGGTCCCAGTTCGCTGTGCAAGAGGATCTCCATGCCATAGACCGAAATCGCTTAACGGCAGAGGTGGAAGTCTCGACCATTACCTCCGTCGTGGGGGATCTCAGCATGTATGGGAAGAGTCATACTTTCAAGTCCGAAACATTCAAAATGCCCACAAACTGCGATTTGTGTGGCGACCGTATCTGGGGTCTCAGTGCCAAAGGGTTCATTTGCACAGACTGCGGCTTTACATGCCACAGTAAGTGTCACATGAAAGTGCCGGCTGACTGTCCTGGTGAACAAACCAAGGAGGAGAAGAAGAAGTTGAAGGCTGAGCGGCAAGCTGCCGCAACCGCTGCGGCCGAAGCGCCAGCATCGAATGGCGTAAGCTCTCCTCCGAGCCTCACGAGACAGGATACCATGAGCAGCCTGTCCTCGGGTTATGCAGCCAGTGCGACGAGGTCTGTGTCTGGAAACATTCCACGTTCGATGGGTCAAGAGGACGGGGCGACGTCTGGCGGCGCATCCTTGACGGCGAATGCTGGCTCAACAGTCTCCAGCAGCGCCAGACGCAATCGCATTGTTGCTCCTCCTCCAACCACATATGTGAGTGCTCCAACCGATTCCGGTGCAAATGGTAGCAGCCAGCCACGAGCAAAGATGCTCTATCCTTACGAAGCCCGGGACGATGGCGAGGTGACTCTCTCGGAGGGTACAGAGGTGAGAATATTAGAACCTGATGGTTAGTGGAATCCCCTTCATCTCTTGCCGTTTCGAGTCAACGTTACAGTGCTAACAAGTAGATAGATGGCGGGTGGACAAAGGTGGATGCCGGCTTTGGCAATGAAGGGCTTGTGCCCACAGCCTACCTAGAAGAACTCCCTGCGGCGGCTTCGATACCCGCCCATGCACGCACGGCATCATTGGCTTCTACTTCAACCACGTCGCTAGCATCATCCAACACGACGGGCAAGAAAAAACAAGGCCCTGCCGTGGCACCAAAACGCGGGGCCAAGAAGTTGAAGTATGTCGAGGCTCTGTATCCATATACCGCACAGAGCGATGCCGAATTCGACATGGTCGAAGGTGAACGATTTGTCTTGATCAGCATGGGTACGGGCGACGGCTGGGCCGAAGTTGAAAAGAACGGCGAGACTCGTGCTGTACCTGCGAATTACATCCAAGAGGTGTGATGTTGATCTCGACAGCAACGTGGACGACACCATCAACGTCAATATTGGAATGAGCCCCAGCATTAACCCCTGCGGCGCTCCCTGGCGCCAGCATTGGTGTGGCATAGCATGACATGGCATGAGCTCGAGGCTTGCGGGCCTTTGGATCGGTCGACTTGGTCTACGTTGCATACTACCACGAGCTCGATGATGTTTTGGTTGCAGTTGGTCTGAGTGAAAAGCATATTGGTTGGCCTGAGGCGGTCCCGCCGCCTCTTAGTTTGTCCGAGACGAAAGGGATATTGCTTGGGGATTACAAATGATAGAAAGCGAGCGTCATATCGATCAAAACTGTCTAGAAATCAAGCACACAATCGAACCCGAATTGCTCGTTCTTGTTGGCCCGGTTTTTGGAAAGGGGAAAAAGCAATTTTCTGGATCTTGATCTCAATCCCAATCCCACTTTCAGCTTACTTGGAGACTAGCTGTTGCATTTTCTCTTCTACTTCAACAAAGGTCGAGGCAGACACATGTTTGGCCGTTTGATTCATCTGCTCATATACCTGAAAACTATCAATGCGCCGACTCATATCACTGTAAATACCTATTAAACCACTCGACAGCCTGCTTTGCAGCATCCCTTCCTCCCTGCAGGTTCGCCTCGTCCTGTTTCATCGCACGGACACAGAACCCATGCTGACAGCCCTTGTAGATTCGAAATTCATAGATATAATCAGACTCGGCATTGGCACCCTCTCGAGCAATCTCCTCCTTGACTCTGGCTTCCGTTTTCGCCGCAACCTCGGCATTGAACATCTGATCGTTTTCCGCAACGGCGACCGCATACGGGACCTTGAACTTCTTGATGGCATCGACAACCATCTCGGGCTTTTCGTGGATATAGCTTGGATGACCGCAGAACTGGGCATCGATCAATCGAGCGCTACCGCCCTCGGTGGCGGTCTCCGTACACAACTTCGTACTCGGCCAGGCACCCCAGCAGAACCCCGCGACGCCCAGCTTGCCTCCTGGCGGTAAATCGGCTTTCATGGCTCGGGCATAGGCCAGGATTTGTGGGTAGACTTTGTCCGGACGGCCGAAGAGCATGAACGGTATGACGGACGGCAGCAATGTCGCGACTGCGTACGTTTTGCGCAAAACACCGCCCACGGACCATTTTTCCAGTGGTGTCAGGGCAGATTCCATGGTCGGCATCAGCTCAGGCGCCAGGCCGCCTTGATATACGATGTCGGGAATCAAGACACGACACCCTGTCTCCGAAGCATATTGGTCGGCGAGAAGTTTGTTGTTGACCAGCTTGAGTGAGAATGCGTCGGGAAGGTAGAGAATCGCAGATTTGGAGTCACTACGACTGCCACCGGCAATATATGTTCGAATTCCGTACACCGCTCAATGGTCCCAGTTGGTTGAGAGTCGGTGCGCTCGGATCCGCGGAAACAGTCTGGGCATGACATGGTTGAACGAAGATGGACGATGGCAGTAACGGCGACGCTGAAGTTGACGTTGATGCTGACGAAGACTTAGTGTTGGAGGATGGTTTCGAAGTGGTGCTCAGCTGTATCTCGCCGCTCGTTGCGGTAGCCGTCTGAGCCGGGGATTATTCTCCTTGTCGTGAAGTTGTGGTCGAGGGCAGGACCGCGGGTTCTGTTCGAAGAGCAATACCCGTCCTAATCATCAATGTGGATATCAAGCGTTTTTGTGTATGCCCTCGTGTGTGTCTGTGTGGCTGCGTGATGGTGTTCTCATTGATGGTGTTGACAGCCGTACTATGTTGTTTGGGGTGGTGCCACTGCTGTGATGAACGTGGTAGCAACAGCAGCAGCGTAAGTAGTTAGTGATTGAGCTCCTGGACAGTTGAATCAGGAATACAGATACGTATATTACAGCGTACAAGGATGGAGGGGATCGGGATGAGTCGATGTGATCTACTGATTTACCTCACAGTTGGTCGACCGGTTCGAATGGCATAAGCGACCTGTTTCATGGCTGTAACTGAACTGCGCAGCAGGGTGGACACAAAGTCACATTACTACTACTGACAGTCACCTCGTGGAGACGCACACATGGGAGGGGTGTGGAATATCGTTGAACGTCACAATCGGCGCAATTGATGCTCCGTGCTAACAAAAGCGAACCCTTGAAAGGTCGCGCTGATGCGGCCTGGTCACTTGTGGTTGATGCGGCTCAACGTGTGCCCGACCACTCCAATGCTATTTGGCAGGTCCTTAGAGGAGGTCGTCCACGACGGCCGACGGTGATGTTACATACTGTATGCTGACACCGTATGCCCGTGAGGCTTCCGGATTCTCGGAATAGTGTCACGCGGAAGAGCTTATCCCTTGGAGCACTGTTCGAATAGGCATTCGGGTGTATACCTGGTAAACACCAATACACTGGACTGAATCAAGTGCCATCTGGCTTCAAGATGTTCAACTACCAGGTACCTAGGCACCTAGGTGCTAGGCACAGTACCTAGGTCGTCGTCGAACCTCGTTAACCATTCAATAATGGGTGGAGATCAAAACATTCATTCACCCGCAGTTAAGCACGGAGTTTGCAGTAAACCCCGATAGTGACAAGTAATACCAGTCGTTTGGAAGGCTGACACGGTCAACATCAGACTTCATGAAATCCCCTGAGCTTTGAACATGCAACTTAATGAGATCTATCTAACAAACACGGGTATGGCCAGTTCCCCCTAAGGGCACCTCACTGCTGTGGCCGTCGTCGTCATCGCTAGAAACATTCCACAGTAACCCTAACGCCCTTACTATCTCGCGGCGGCAGTGGAATGAACCTATCCTCTGCGACCTGGACATCTCTCAGGGTGGTCTCGTACAACTCTAACCGGCCGACATCACCATCAAACCGCACCTCCTTGCTCCCATAGACGCGAAACAACTTTGCCAGCATGAGGTAGAGCTCCGCATAGGCAAGATTGATGCCCAGACACTGCATCTTTCCCTTCGAGAAGGCCACCAGATACTTGTCGAGGCGGGGGTTTTCGATCCACCGTTCGGGACGATACTCAAGAGGCGACGGGAAGATATCTGAGTTCTGGTGAATCATCATCGAGGTCATGGACATGGGCGTGCCAGGCGGGATCTTCCAAGCCTTGTTGCCGTCATGGAAGACCAACGTCTCGTCCGGCGCGATCCGTTCCAGCCGCGTGCAGATCCCGTAGCTGAGTCGTAGACCTTCCTGTATCACACCGGTGAGATACGGCAGTCGCTCCAGTTCCGGCAAGGGAGTTGACTTGGTTGGGTCGGGAATGGCCTCGTAGAGTTCGGTCTTAAGTTTGCGCAACCTTACTGGATCGGACAGTAGATAGTACACAGTCACGGGCAACGTCCATGCCGTGGTGACGGTCCCGGCGCTGACCACGGTGGCGCCCTCGTCAGCAAGCCGAGATGTGCGTTTTTCGGCTTCAGGAAGAGAGCTGTGCAGAATTTCGTGGAAGATGGTCGGATGAGAAGCTGTCTTGTGAGCAGTGTTAAATCCGGAGCGGATGTTTTCGATTTGCGTGTTGATGTCCTAGACAGAGAAGACCATTAGCAGGCCGGTGGGAAGGAGACCCACGAAGGGATCATTCAACAGGTCCTTCATACGAGAACGTCCCGTGACGGCAGGGCAACGCAACCTCTTCTGAACGGTGCACATGAAACGCAAGGGCACAATTGTACTTACGCGTTTGAATTGTAAATACCGACTCGCTGATATCACGTTAACAGTCATTATCAGATCGTTCACTGCCGAACACCATTGTTGTTCTAAGACCGACGTACCATTAGGATCCAGCCTTCTCGCCAGCCAGTCTGGGATATGCAAAATAAGCCAGAAAACCCAGTACATGTTCTTGGCAATCTGGCCTAGCGAGCTTGTGCCAATGGCGGCATGGTGCATCCACGGCTCGAAATCTTCGGCCTCGAGATGATGGTCGCTTCTGGCAAAGGCATATTCCACCACGACATCTATTGGCACGGTCAGCCAGATGTACAGAGGGCGATGCTGCTGCGGAAGAGGATTGACCGACCGTAAGCGTATGCAGCGAATGCAATCGGCAGATCCACCGGTTTCCGATGCTCTGGCGCGGATTCTCCGAACTGCTTGAACCTCCTCATCAATATGTCGGCCTTCTCCTCTATCACCGCCTGCAATTTGCGGACGCTCTGCATGCTGAAGTACGGGCTCAATGCGGCGCGACGTGCTTTGTGCAAGTCATGAGGATTGGTGCTGGCTCCCGCGCCGGGCATGCCGAATCCCTTGGTGTAGTAGTCCCACCGGTCGCGCCGACGAGTCGGTCCCGCGTAGATCTCCTCGTAGAACTGTGGTGTGTAAAAATGCAGTTCACGAGGGTTGATGCGGACGACAGGGCCGTACTTTTTGTGCAGGTCCATGATATGGAATGTATACTGCCCGCCGAGGATCACATCGTAGTAGAACTCGTACCTGATGGACCGGGTTAGTTGACCTAAACCACCGAGCTGCCAGCGACCAATATTAACATTGCTCCTACAACCATCCGGCACCATTTCCCGAGCTTGATTGTATTGGCCGATGCAGTATGGAAGTCCGGAGGGGGAAAGACATAAAGGAAACGGGAAAAAAAGCTGGCAAATCCAATCTTGTAGATATTGACTGCTGGCACGATGCAATCAAGGGACGAACTGGAGGCAATGCCCACGTCGTAGCTGATTTTAGTATTCCCGTCTTAGCAGACGAGGCTTGAGAAACGGCGATTACCCGTGCATGTGCGTTCACGTGCATCTCTAGACAATCCTTGAACCGCGAGAACGTCGACTCACCAGAATGTCACCGCCGCGAGCTTCGGACCCGGGAACTGCGCAATCGGACTAAACCACAACCGGTACACGACCAGCGCACCAGCATATGCCACGAGCAATACCAAACCGACCACAGGCAGGGGTAAGGAGAGCGCCGAATCCACACCACAGAGAAGATGCTGCAAGACAGCCATATCTATCGGAAATGCTTCAAGGATCAACTTGAACCAAGAAAATCGCAGCACACCGCAGAGGTTAATCAACCGTCATGAAATAAAGATACCACAAATGATGAACGTGATACCTAGGTACGTGTGTCTGTGTCGTGCAAAGGAACACGGCACGCAGTCCAGTCCGGGACACGTCACTCACCACTATCGGTTTAGCGAGCCGCGCCGCGCCGTCAATCGTGCTGCATGCAGTGTCAAAGGAAAAGCATCAATACGGCCGGCGAGATGCAGGCGGGCAGAAGTCAAAATAAACGCTCTCGTGGGGCGGGGCGCATTGCGCGATGATTAGCCGTAACTCATGCCGGAAAGCCACCACCGCACCTTCAATCCAGCACGGCTCTCTTATAGTGGCTGAGACCATGGAAATGTTGGGAGACAACAAGTTGTTGGTGTCTGCCGAGTGCATTACTAGTAGTAATAGTAGTAGTGTTGATTTGACTGACAGTCGGTGTGCAATTCGACTCAATCAATTGGTTGGCAACGTGCCGACGAGGCTACCGCGCTCTAGACTCCATCAGTCCTAGTCTCGAATCGGGAAACGTTGTCTCTGCAACCAAGTTCCAACTCATTATGCGAACCTTTACTCACCTTCAATTTGTCTTGAGGTTTGTCCTTTCATGGAATTGCTACTGCATCTCTCGGGCCTTGCAGATTAGTGCGCCAGCTAATTGCAACACACAGCCCACAATCAAGTTATTCATTGTCAGCTTCATGTCCCAATGCCGTTCGCATCATGTCGCCGAGGCTACGAGTTACTGGATTGAATGTACCCGAAACAGTGACCTTGGTACGGAAAGGAGATTCATTGACATAATAGTACATGGGTCAACAGGACCATCAAACCCGAGATACAAAGCTGGACCGTCTGGAGCAATTTCAACCACTGTCCTCGTCAGTTCTGGTTACGTTCAAGAATCAGGCCTCTTCTGTGCTCACCTTGGAGTTCGGCAAATATTTTCAGAGCTGATAGCGACCTATTCCCTCCTTTTTTTTGTGACTGTTTCTCTTTTGATCTTTTTTGATGTTTCTTTTGTGGTAAACATAGCAGACGTAACTGACGGATAACGAAAGAGGCATGGCCACCTGCTTGATTGTGTCCATCTTTTTCCAAGGGGGAAAAAAAAAGAAAACTCCGTCCCAACGGCATAATCAATACTCGATGGTAAGCCAAACACATGAATTCCAACGCAGCAAGGCATCCCACCACATCCTGGTGTAAGACATGCCATCGGGTATCACACCAGGAAACCAGAGGCATGGTAAACCACACAACATGATACGCAACACCGACATACATCAACACGTCCTTGCGAACCAACACGAAGTAATAGTCAACATCTACCGAACATGACCCCGCATCGGCCCACAGCACTCCAGAACTCTCTCCGCTCTCCACTCTTCGCCAATGATGTCAACACGCCGAAACACACCTCAGTCATCGTCATCCTCAAAACAAACATGCGCAGGATGATACGGACACGGGACTCGTTCAATCTGGGGAATGGGCAGGATCTGACCTGGAGCCCAAAGTGGAAAAGGGCCTAGACCGCCATTTGGCTCATCCGGATCCGGAGTTGGCGGGCGGAGGAAGCGGAACGCACGCATATCCCAGCCATGGCCGATGGAAGGCCATCTGTAACCGTCGCGGAAGATGAACCCGCCTTGAGGCACAAAGTCCATATCTTCGACGCCCGTGACCTCGAATGCGGCGACGTCTCCAGCGGTCGTGGCGACCACGACGATGCCGCCTGCGTCCTGGTTGCGCCGCTCGTGAACCCAGTCGATCATGATCCCGGTGGTCAGGGCGATGGCCATTCCTCCTGGCAACAGATGGAACACACTCTCGCCCAGCCCATTGTGCTCGACCTGGACCTCGTGGCCAAGATGCGACGTCATGTACAGATGCAGATAACGCTCGCGTTGCCAACGCTCCAGGTCGTAACGGTCAATGGCCTGGTACCGCTCGTCAAACAAGGCCGCGTACTTGACGTTGGATTCGGTGACGAGCTGCAGCAGGCGCTCATGGTCGTCGTCGTGGATCCGCAATGGTGAATTCAGCTCATACTGCAGGCGCCAGAGGATTCGCACCATCACGTCGACGTACACACCATCGTACACGGCGACCAGGCTGCGTCGGTCATTGCGCAGGTCTGGCTCGCACAACAACAGGGCGGTTGGGTGAAGGTGGCATGTGATGTCGGTCGCCAGGTTCGGCACTGGGTTGTCAGGCCGACTGTATGGGCTGGATATTGGAGGGAACGGGGCATTGAACGGTCGATGCGGGGTCGGGGTGTCACACACCAGCTCGTCCGTCAGCTCGAGTCGCCAATCTTCAGGTTTATTCGACACCAGACGCGACAAGGCCTCGTTGTGCATGCGAGCCATCTCTCCTCGGCTATAGCTGGTGACCTTGCGCAGAAACCGTGCAGTCGGCATCCTGGGCTCCAGGACGTATCGGTAAAAATAGTTGAGGACCCATGCCTGTGTTTCCGGCTCGAGCGCATCATAGAGCTTCACGTACTCCTCGTACTCTGGCAGGACAAACATCGAGGCTGTCGCTAACGGCATAATGGTGTGTTTCAAAGTCGGACCCTGGATGGACTATAGTCTGTCCGGATTGAGATGTTTTCAGGTTGATGGTGCACTCACACAGCGGAGCAGGATAGGTAAGAACACAAGCAAGCCAGCCGCTAACTGCACAGCAGGATGATCAGTAGGGGTCTCTTTCAATTCTTCTGCTTGCGGCTATGCGGGGTGATCTCCTCGGCGGCTTTCGAGTGCTGTTGTCCTCTAGGGATGATGCCTCAACTGCAGCTGGAGGTGCAAACAACCAGTGACTTGCAGGTTGGCTCGCTTGGCTTGCGATGCTCTCCGAGGAGGTATATAGATACTGATGCTGTACAGCTGTAGTCACGGTGTCCACTTGCTGGTGTCGGACAGATGAGTTGTGTGGGAAATTGACTGCTTGATTCTCGTTGTTTGGTGGGTAATAACACGTCTGGTCTGAAACGGAAGCTCGCGCGGCAACCTGGTATAACCGCAAGTGCGCGGCGAAGTCAAGGTCAGAAAGAGGCACGATAGTTGAGGCAGGAGAAGTCACGGATGAATCCGGACCTGGTGTGTCTCCGGAAGCGCGCGCAGC